TACTTGGAAGGGAATTTAACTATGTATTTTTTTACACCACCCTGTGTTATAGTTAGTCCAACTCTTTGAGAAAGGCTAGGAATCAGTGGGTCACTTTGCTTTTGGAGAGCAATGAGAATTCTTCCTTTTCCTGGTAGAGCTCCTCCCACTTCTTCTGCAGCTCTGCCTTCTCCTTCTCCAGCTCCTCTCGCTGTCGGATCAACTCGTCGGCTTCCTCCTGCTGGGCTTTTCTCAGCGACTCGATCGTCTCCCTCTCTGCAGCGGCTTCTCTGGCGCCGACTGTCTGCAGCTTTTCCAGCAGCTCCCGCTGCTGTTGCAGAGCGTGAGCCTCCTCCCTCTGCGTTCTTCTCAGAGCTTCGATCAGCTCCAGCTCCCGTTCAAAGACCCTGACCTCCACCTCCGGTTGCCTGGAGATCTTCAGTCCAGCTGAAGGGAAAGACGGTCTCACTGCAACAGACGGTTCAACGCAGACGTCAACAAATTTATGCTCGATAGTGAGGGAATATAAAACCGAAAGTTTTAAAGGTGACCTACTATGCTTCCTTTAAGAGCTTAGAATACATCTTTAAGCTAAATAAACATGTTCATGGTGTGTTTTGCAGAAAATCTTTCTTAAATTATGAGATTTTAGTCAGCTCAGTTCTGTCTATTGTGAGCTGTTTTAGGGTATCTTGTCACTGTAAATCCAAATAAGCTGCTGGAGGCCATGCCCACAACTCAATGTTTACAGTTACTCATCAAAAAGACTGCAAACAGATGCGCAATTATACAACCATACATCTTTGAAAAGCAGAAGTGGAACTTACTACACAACCAACAACACAGCAGCAATTGGTTTCTGGATGTTAAGTCCATAACAAAACATCTGTCCTTTCCAGAAGCCATTGTACGGCACATACAGCCAGTAGAAAGCCAGCTAACCAAAAGTTCTGGAACTCTCCTTGCTAGGTGATGTGCAGGGGTTTGATGGGATTGCTAGGTAATGGTGGGATGCCCTGTGATTGTGACTTAACACTTGAGAGCTTTATGAAACGGATCATTTTCCAGACACGAGAAAATAAAAAAAGGCCTTTCTGCCAAAAATTATTAAGTGCTTGGAATGTTTCGATGCAGTTGAGAGCCAAATGGAAGTGCAAATGGCGCAAAATATCAATTTTGAATAAATGAACCAGTTTTTATTAAAAACCATAAACACTTCAAAAAGCAGCAATGGAGACTTACCTGACATTTCATGTTGAATTAATGGACTTTCGGTTGTTCCACCGTGGCCATTTGAGTCTGGTGACAACTGTCTGAGTGAGTTGGATCCCAGCTCAGAAAACACCTTCGGATGTCTTTTCGACAGATGCCGATGCAGATTACCGGTGCAGCCGCTGTCGTAGCACTGCAGCTTCCTCATACAAATGCGACACTGAGCTGCTTCTGAACTCTCTAATCTCTCAAAGTGCCTCCAGATTACGCTCCTTCTGCGGTCTTTGGTCTGCGGTCTCTCAGAGGAGTTTTCACCTGCCTCTGAATTAAACGCTTCTTGTGCCAAACCTTCTTGCAAAGAGTCGGGATTGTCATTTGTGGTATGACTGGCATCAGGTTCGATAGAAGGGGTCATGATGTCAGAGCTGTCATCCTCCACTCTAACTTCCACTGATGAAAAAGAAATTTAAAATACCAGTTATTATTGAGGCTTTAAATGCGGTTCTAAAGTCTCAGTGTCTAAAATAACTTTCCTGGAGTCATTAGCACTAAGTTATCTGAATATGAGTGCAGCTGGTTTTATCCAACAAACTAAGAATTGCAAAAACGCCATTTATTACTGCAGCTGTTATGATTTTCTACATAAAGGTGGAAAATGATCATTCGGACCACAATCCTGCTTGTCTTTGCCTCTTAATGAAAATCCCCTGCACTCAAACAGGTACAAATAAAAGTATGCAGGGTTTAGGTCCAAAAGAGACATCAGAATTTCATTTTATGCAAACAAATGAACCATTTAGGATTCTGAGGTCTGGATTAGTGAGGGATAATCCATGTTCAGGGTGGAAATTTTCCTTTCAGGAAGTGGTCAAGCCTAGAAATTCAGATTACTGAATCTTTGAAAGAAAGTTTTATCAAAAATAATAATAAGACAAGATGCTCACCTGGAAACCATTTCTGCCCACTGTCCCACATGGTTCCCCCGGTTCCATCGCCATTTGAATCCTGCAGAAGAAGAAAAGTTCTCTAGTGTAGCTTAGTGGACACAAACTTTACAATAACAATTCATGTCTTTTGTTCAGGCTGGAAGAGATACAACCTTTTAAACTCTGAGATTTCTACATGCAGTTGCAGCAATTAAGAATATTTACTCTCCTGTGGGTTAAGTTATGTTTAGAATGCTTCTTTATGCAAGTTAAAGTCATATATTCACACGTATACAAAGATTTTTCTGCTTCATCGTACTGTTATAATATTTATATTTGCTAAATGCCGGAATAATAAAGGGAGAAATATTCTTTTACACCACAATCAGAGGCTTACATAAACTGAGATTCCTTTGTTTTCAAACAATGTAGGAAAGCCCAGATGATGATGGATTTGTAAGAGTCAGAGTTAAGTTGAAATACTTTTTTAATCAGATCTCAAACAGCTAATTAAGCTAATTTAAAGTTGGACAGTGAGAAAAAATATCTTCTTTTATTTGTAATTGTTTAAGTGGACAAATAGCTTACCTCTGCTTCTATTATTTTCCCAGCTGATTCTCCTTGTGGTATGCCTGGAAGCTTGTTTATCGCTGGAATATCAGTTTCATTCAGTGTGGTCATAATGTGAGATTCCCCATCATCTAAAACCAATTTTACTACACAAGAAGATAAAAATAAACATCCTAAAGAAGCTCTGATGATGACAAGAGGTCATGCTGTCCACCCACAGACAAAACTACACATGAAGAGAACTGGTTTCATTGACCAAACGTACCTGGATGGGGCTCTGTTCCTATGTAGGATTCACGAGAGACACCAGCTACATTTACATCCTGTGAGGGCACAGCAGGGCGGTGGTTGGTGGACAGCAGCTCTGAAAGCACCTTTGGGTGCCTCTTTACCAAGTGTCGACGAAGGTTGCTAATGCCGCCACTTTTGTGCAACTTCTTCATGCAAATGCGGCAGCGAGCAGCGTTCAAGTTGTCCAAATGTTCAAACAGTCTCCAAATCAAGCTGCGCCTGCGCGACTGCTTGTTGGGAATGTGGCTAAGATCATCTTCGTGTATTAGATGAGATAGCGAGCCACGTGGTGAAGTCTCACAGAGGCCACTGACAGCAGTGCTGGGATCGGAATCATGCTGGGTGGTCCTGGTGTTGGATTCCTCATCGTCCACCGACACTACAACTGAAAAACAAACAGGCGTTTTCTTAAAAAACTTGATTGTTGTCTCTAAAAGCAGAAGGCGTCATTCCTGGTTTTCTTACAATGCTATTTCTTAAGCATCATTTGTAAGGATACTTCTGTGTATTTATATGTAAACAATCAAAAAGCAGAGGCGGATGTGTAAATTTTCCTGCTGCCAATAACGGGATGTATTTTCTTCAATCCCAAAAGCATAAACAAAAACTGAAGGAAACACCAGGAATATACATAATATCCATATATTGAGAAACCTTCAAATACAGAATATAAACGAGTTTTATTCCCATAATTAAAGTCATTATTTCAGCCCTACAATACATCTCTACTTAAATGCTCCACATATGACTAAAGTGTAGCATTGTTTACACCGAGAGCCAGCTTCCAGCTAACCTGCTGCAGCTATGAATAAAGTAAGGTTTCACTTCCATAAAAGTGAACTTCAGCTGAAAGACAATGAAAAACAAAATGTGGCCTCAAACTGAGCCGTGGGGGACTCCACTTAAAATCTCCGGAAAACTGGACGTGTTTTCATCCACACAAACACAACATGCTGTATCTGAAAGGTAACTGCAGTTTCCAAACAACAAAACAGTTTACAGGCAGCCAGGGATGAAACAAACTAACTAATAACAAGAAATAATAACGAGGAAGGCATACCAGAGATGATCTGTTCGTCATCTATTTCCATATGCTGGTGGTCATGGCTGGCGGCAGTTTCGTGGTCTCTTTCCATCCCTCTGTAGACCTGTGTGGGGTGTTTGAGGCGCAGATGTCTTAGCATCGGAGTGGTGGAGCCGTGCTCCTTTTTATGAAGGTAACGATTACACAGCACACACTGCACCGACCCTTCGTCTATATCTGTGAAAAAGCTCCACACCACGCTTCTCTTACGGTATGTGTCCAACTTTACCTTTCGGGGTCCCATACCACACGGTACCGATGACCCAGTTTGGTCTAAAACCAATATTTGACCGTTGGCTGATCTTCTTTAGCTGTCATGCTAAGTTAGCCGAACTGACTCAGATTGCGTTCTTTTTTTTTCAGTTCTTCTTCTGCCACTGCTATTCAGGGGCTGCGCTGGCGCCACCAGCTGGACAGAATGGTGAACTTTTGATATATTCAACCTCCAAAGTCCTGTATCATCTACAAACATTTAGTGTTTTGTGTACTATACTATCAACTATTATTCCAAATAATTGAGCTGACATGTAACGGGTCAAAGTCTTGAAAATGAATATATTAGATAATATATTAATGAGAAAGTGATTTATGAGAAAAAGGTAAAAAAAATAAATGACGTATGATGATTTAAGAGCACTTTTTACGCTACGCTATAGACAATGTCTTTTTAGGAAACATGCAGTTTCAGTTTCTAAGTTATTTTTGATGCTTTTATGTGTAACTTTTTGTAATGGAAGACTACACATGAATTCCCTATTGGAAGGACTGAAGTATGTTAATATCAAAGTAGGCAGCATAAACAATCACTTAAAAAAAGTGGGAAAAAAAAGTTCAAATTTACCAGTTGTCCTTTTTGTCAAAAAAATCTTGATAATGACATAGAAAATACTATACTTTACATTTTCTTTTATGTTACATTTTCAGAAAGTCTCATTTGCCATTTTTTCTTCTATACAAAGACTATTAGTCGACATGTCAACTTATGAAGTCCTGATATAAAAAGGCAGAATGAGCAACATTCCTAACGAACAAAACAGAAACAGGAAAGATGCAAAGAAGAAAATACATTAAATGGATGATTTATTTAGCACCAAGCTAAAACTCTCAAGATAGTGCAACCTGTTTTAATTTGTCTTGCTATAAACAAGAGAAATGATACACTAGGTCAGAAAATGGCCTTTAAATTAAAACAATTATATTTATTAAAAGAAAAATATCTGTCACACAGATTAACAGTACAGTTTATCAACTCTGAAGCAGCAAATTAGTGCCCAAAATGCCATATTAGTTAAAACAAGACTAAATCTAAAAAAATAACAACAAAAGAAATTAAAAAAATAAAAATAAGATGTATAAATATTACAGCATCAAAACAGAAATTCACAGGTTGAATAACAGTGGACAAACTCGTCAAACTTTCTACAAGGAATAATAAATAAACACAAAAGTTTTTAATAAATGTTGAAGTCACATTTGCAGCAAGCTGGCTGGTGCAAGCACTAAATCATTTAGTAGACAGGCGGCATTTTATCAGTGTGAAGACAAAGAAAAGTTGCTGACAAGGTGATTAAAAAAATAAAACAGCTGGAATGCATTTAAGCAGTGGTGGGTTCAGCAAAAACATTTTCTAAAGAAATTAATGTAAACTACATTAAAATGAGATGCAACAAATATATTAAGATCTACACTAGCAGATCAAAATTGGACAGGTTAAATAACATCAAATACTCTTTCCCCTGATTCCCATTTAACTGGAGCTTTGACTGTAACAAAGCGGCAGCTGCTATGTGGCGGTTTGGACCCACTCGCACTGGACCACGTTTTAATTTAGTAAATTTGTAATATTACTTTTTTTGTTAAAGAAAACAGTGTAAACATAAGTTTGCATCTTTAAAATAAGTTGTAAATGTTTAAATCTCCGGGTAAACCTAAATGTTATGGCTTCATTCTTTCTGTTAGTTTTGATAGATAAGAAGATTGTAGGCAGATTTTTCCCGATGTTGTCAAGAGTAATTTAAGAAAATCCAAATTATTACCAAAACACATTTCATTACAACAATAACTGTGGTCTCATCTAAATGAAGGACATGTCTTTTAAAAGAATGGAAATGCAGCACGTGAAACCAAAACTCTGGCTTATTTACAGCGAGTCGCTCAAAACAAACATTCAAACTTACCTGGTCGCTTTCAGGGGGGCGTTGCTACAAACGAGATATTTGCGTTCCCTACATAGCTTATTTTACTCAGTCCCTGGTATTCTTGCCATGGCGTGTTGTAACAGAACAAAAATAATAAAAACAAAACAGCCTACTATTATTTGTTAATCTGGTTAGGTTACTTGTAGCAATCAATAATGTGAATCATTTTGACCATTTCTAATGTAACAACAATAAACCAACAGCAATTAAGTCAATAATATCCTAAAGTTTTCACCAATAATATAATAGATTATATAGCAATATCTGTAGCTGATGTAATTTAATAACAACTATAAATCAAGTTATTAGAAACTTTGGTGTTCTGCTCATCAAATATCAGAGGACTTATATTTAAGTATTTATTAAGGAAACTGTTGGAATAATTGTATGCAAGTTATCCCATGTATTGTTTTTCTTACTATGTATGTTGGAATGCTGTAAAACTGTTACTGTGAAGATTGACTACTTATTCTGTTTGATGTCTGGAACAAGATTATCACGTACAAGATAATTGTGTTACATAGAAGAAGAGGCAATCACAATATACATTATCAAAGTACTGTCTTTGCATCTCATGAGGTTGCAGTTTGTTTGTTGTCCCTGGGGTCATAAAGTTCAGTTCCTGAGACTTTGGGTTGTATGGAAACGAAACATTCTTCCTATCAGGCTGGATGTTGCTCTGGCCATCCCAGTTGACAGAATCATCGCTTCAAAGATAAAAGAAACACAAATCGATCCCAGGGGCATTGTATTCTCCTGGTCTTTGTATTTGTATCTAACACTTAGTTGGGAATTGAGAACTGGCACTGTAGCTGTGTGATGAATTGTTTACCCAACGCCTTTTTAGAGCTACAGTGTCCTTGTGTAACCAGGGTGATCTAAGGAAATAAAAGGCGTTGAGAGCCAAGACGTACTCAGAGTGTGTTGGAGATTGTAACTGATGTACGTCTCTGGGGCACTTAACTGATGTGTTCTGTCTTTCCTTCCAGGTAGTGTTTTACTAATGTTAGGGGTTTAAACCTGACAGAAACACATTGGACTGCACTTTCTATGTAATGAGAAATAATTTTAAAACCTTCTTATATAATCTCCATTTCATGTTCTTAGATATTTCAATGTTTTATTTAATGTTTGGAGGGATATTTCTTTTCACATCATTGGCTAAAGATTATTTGTTCAAATACTTCCTTATAATGTTTGTAAATTATTATGTTTATAGCTTTGTTACATTTAAAATGTTCAAAATTGTGAAGTTATTAGCTATTTTATCAGTATTTGTTGCTACATTAGTCACTTTAACCAAAATTACTAGAGCTAAAATTAAACAAAACTAAATGTAAACGTCCCACAGCAATATTATTTCTGTTCTGATCTTATTTAACTATCAGAGGTAAATTATAAAAAGCACCTTATTAGTCAAATTATCCTCTTGCTTCATATATAAACTTAAAGTAAACTGTGATGAATATAATATTGACCTCCAAGTAGTGATATAACCAATGTTTAGTCAAACAATAATTTTGATTTTAAGTACAAAACGGTTCAACTTGTCTTAATTTAAATACAAAACTTGAGTGAAAATACTTTGCGACAGACTTTGTTGCACAAATTAAGAACATATATTATTCTGTAACGTGCAAAAACCCAGTATTAAATGTAGTCGTTGTGCCTTACAGGCACAAAACAATTTACAAACCAAGAAAAATACATTCCCTACTTCTCAACTTTAAAATGAGCTAAATGCAGACAGCATCTACAGGATTATTGGCACGTTTGTCACGAGGCTGTGTGTATTTCTACTGGTCTGAACCCAAATAACTAATGGAGTACATTTGGAGTACTCCACTTCCTCCAGGCGCACAATGAGGCTGTGTCTGTGTCCACTAAATATTAATCTGCAAAACCTGAGAGGAAGTGAACATGTGGAAGAAAGTAGTCGTGTGTGTGTGTGTGTGTGCTGTAAACGGCCAAAGCGGCTGCATCACAAAGAGACGTTCAGAGTCCCATTCTGTCACGCATGTAGTTTTTGCACTCAGTGAATGTTTCGGTTCAGTTTTTGTTTCTCTGCAGCGCCTCGCACAGGTTGTGGTTGGGGTCGGGCTCCTGACTCATGATCTCCACGCAGACCCACTCCCCGCTGCTGCTGGACTGTTTCACCGCCTCCACCACCGTCTGCACGTACAGGCCGTCTTCGAAGGTTGGCGCCGAGGCAACCGGACCTCGTGACCATGACCGCCGCTCTTCGTGCGCCTGGAAGGACTGTCTCAGCGCCTTCACCATGGAGCTCAGCCCCTGCAGGTGAGGGCGGGGCATATCTTTCGCCTCCGGTCCGACGCCACCGCCGTCGGCCAGCAGCAGCTCTTCGCATTTGCTCCCGTTGCGTTGGCCGTACAGCTCCGTTCCCCTGGCGACCAACCTGCCAGCAGATCCGACAATCATGACCTCGTGCACGAACGACCCCGGCATGTTGAAGTTCAAGGTCACGGTGCAGCACACGCCCGAGGATCCGGTTCCACCCATCAACATTTGGAAGAAACAGAAGTCGTCGCTGGTGACGCGGCGGATGCCTCGGATCAGGTTGTTCTGTTGCACAAAGGTCCGCAGTAAGCCGTGCACGCGGTGAGCTCTGGTTCCCGTGAGGTAACTCAGCAGGTCGATAATGGCGGAACCCACGATGTGCAACCCGCCGCCGCCCATCAGCTCCTCGCAGGTCCAGCCATAAGACTGGTCCAGGAGGCTCGGGCCGTAGACCCGCACGTCACACACCTGGATGTCCCCGACGTAGCCCTCCACCAGCCGCTGTCGCATCGCCACAAAGGCCGGCAGGAAGCGCAGGGTGTTACCCATCATGCTCAGCAGCTGGGGGTAGTATCTGGCTGCAGTCACCATCTTGAAAGAGTCAACAGCGGTTGCAGCTTTCTCACACACGACATTCTTACCAATACCTGTAAGACAGCGGGAACAAACATAACTATTAAACTCATATAGCACTCATGACTTACAGATTAATCTGTTAAAATACCTCTTACAGATTAATCTCTAAGTCATGAGTTTTTATCTCATGTCTTAGAAATAAAAACAGATTTTCACATCAGATCCGATTCTAATCTATTATTTTCTCACTTTCTTTTCTAAAAACAAAATTACAAATGACAGAAAATATTTTCCAAAACTGATTTTCATCATCCCTTCTATGAATTGTTACGACACAGAAATAGGGGCCAGGCTGCAAAAAATTTTTTGTTAAATTTTTTATTATTTGTTTTGTTCAATTTAATGTATTCTTGAATACATTTTCTAATCAAAACCAGCTCAATCTGAGTGATTCTTTCCTCAAAATAGACTCAGTTGTTTCCACAATCATTTCAAAATCCTGCTACAGGTAATAATTTGATGCCGATGTGTTTGAAGATTTAGAGTTTCCTTGCTTGTAAAAGCGATTTCAAATTATAACTTCAAAAGATGCTCAAAATTTCTCATTTAAATTTTTAAAATGAGAAAAATTAAACTGTGTCGTTTTTGTTACAACACAGTAACAGGGCAATTTGATCAGGATTCTCATAAAATTAAAACTTCATTCTCCTAAAGTTACAATGTTTTTCTGGTAATATGGGTATCTTTTCCTATTATTTCCACTTTAATTTGTCATACAACTGTTTTCTTGTAATGTTATAACTGTTTTCTTGTAATTCTAAAAAGCAAATCTTTGCCTGGCCCATATATTGAGTTGGACTGAATTCAAAGTCCAAATAAATAGAAGCTCTAAAGCACGTTTGTCAAACAAAATGGCGGTTTTGGTTGTGCAATGATATATTTAAAAAATCAAAATTTTCCAAAAATTAAATTTTCAAGACACAAAAATTCAATTAAACGATAAAATCAATTTATCACCCAGCCCAAAAACACAACATAAGTTGCAACCCATTGCAATGGTCCCAGCATTGTTCAATTTACAGTTACTGTAAAAGAGAGAGGTATTTTAACAGACCGAGGGACTGACTGCTTCAGCTGGTCCAGCCTGTCCTTTCACATGTCTCACACCGGGTGTGTTCTTCATGCAGAAACGTTCGATAAGCAGATCTCCTCTTAAAGGCTTCCTTGCTGTAGACAAGGCCTTCAGCAGGGAAACATTCAGGAAGTTGCAACTAAAACAGGAAACTGAACACAACCCTGAAGAATTCCAACAGATGCTTTACACCGACGCCCCTCCGGTACAGTAATGTTAGGGTTACTTCTAAGAGCTACACAGTTCCTCCACTAACCCTCAGGGGAAATGTTTTGGTTATTGCAAATATTTCTGAGGGAAGTCTCCTCTGCCACACCCAGTGATGGAATGGAAACACCTTAACATTATGCTTTCAGAAAAGAAAGTTGATTTAATCATAGCCAATGAGTGAAAGTATTTTGAAAAGCTTACCCAGTGCTTTGACTGCAATTTGTCTCGTCATTGAGGGGGGAATATAGATGCACACCAGATCGACGTCTTGGTGCAGGAGGACGTCGTCGGATCGGCTGGTGTGAAACGGGATGCAGAGTTCCTTTGCCAAGCAGCAAGCTTCCTCTTCGCTTCGTCCCCAAAGCGCATGGACTTCAAAGCCCTCAGCTTGCAGCAGCGGGACCAGCACTCGGGCTGTGCTCCCAGTGCCAAAAACACCAACTCCTGGCAACATGGCCCTGCCGCTTGCCGTTACTCTACATGTGGACCGCAGCCATCCATTCCAGTTTCTCACCAGTAGATCTGCTTTTGTTGTAAAGTTAGGAAGTTACCTGTGAAAATGAATAAATAGCTCTTTAAGCAACTAAACAGCAGCCTTCCTAAGGGTCTCTTATCAGAAAGCTCTTAAAATATCCTGACACATTCCCCACAATGCTCTACACTCATCAGGTGTATGTAGTATCACAAGGAGGCCTGTCACAATAACAACTTTTGCTGGACAATAAATAGTCCCAAAAGTTACTGTTGGTTTGAGACCATTTCATGTAATATAATGGTAATAGCAAAATAATGCAAGAACACATTCTGAAATATCAAAATTTTAATTTCATTGAACATTTAACACTGGAATTGGAAGATATTTTAAATATATAAAATAAATAAACAAAACAACAAATGAAATTAATTAGGAAGTATGGGTAAACAAAACTGGGGATTAGTTGAGAAGAAAGTACCAGACTGAAGACTTTTGTCATCCAGTTTTTGGTAGAAAGACAAAAAAAAAAAAAAAAAAAAAACAATAAATAAAGTATAAAAACGCAGATAATTGGGATAATTTAAAAGTTATTTGCGCCTTCAGTTGAGAAAAGAGCCTTTACTCATGCAGTGTGCTGCAGGTTTATGCTACTAGAATATTAGTGGCTATTTACTGCATGTGTGCAAACAGATGAGATCACACCATGATCCCGGGCGAAGAACAAAGAGTGTGTGGGTGAGCACCTGTGCGCCTGCATTACCAGTGAAACCAGAAGTAAACTCTCCCCACTCTGGAACAAGGAACAAGGGAAACCGTCACTTATCGCACTGCTTATCAGCAGGTCAAGGCTTTTTCACCACGAGAATCTACTGAAGCTGCTGTCAGGTGGACTGATGATAAACCAGGTCAGGGGAAAGTTTATTCATCAGCATCAAACATTACAGACGCGCATGCACGACATTAAAACAGATGCGGCATGCACGTACCACCATTACTAGGAGTATTTCATAAAGACGAAGACCTAACCACACAGAGAGACAATTGATAACCATGTCAGCTAGCGCATCCAGCTAGCCGCACAAACAGATGCAGAGAGAACTCCCAAAACTCGCGATAAACCCGCGACTGTACATAGCTAACAGCATAATTTAGATTTTTCACTGGTTCTTGAAAGTCACACGCTTAATACGGCACAAGAACGCGAACAGAAGTCACAGAGTACCTACCGGTGGGTCATGGTCCGCAGCAGCGATAGGTTGAGCCCGGGCGCTGCCCATTTGGTAATGACGGTAACTTCAGTAGCAACGGTTGGGCGGAACCGGAAATACTGTCAACGGAAATTTTACTGTGGGAAAACGCTGAATGCGGATTTAAATACGAGGTTCACGCCGGATGAAAACGTTTTCAAAGCATATTTTGTGTGATTAAACGAACACAGCTCTTTATCTTACGAAATTTAGCAAATGTCGTTCTGTAAAAAGTGGCAAAGAGTACCATTGAACGAAATTTGCGACCGAACCTGCTCAATCAACCGGTTCTTTTTTTACGGAACGTTCAGATGTGATTGTCGTTTATCAATCCTTAAATCAAATAGAAACCCAGATCCTACTTATAGTGGAATTAAAAAGACATTAAAAATTTTAACAATACAAACCTCAATGTGGGCAGGGTTAATTTAGAGAACTTGTGAAAAATATAACAGATCACGTGATTAAGAAGAAAAAAAATATATAAATACAACTTGGAGATTTATGGTATGTATATGAATCAGTACTTGATCAGGACTTCTTCTCATTTTTGAGTTACTGAATCCATGTAGTTTGGAGGCCACCAGGATGTGGAACTACAGAGGTGTAAAAGACCTCTGTAGTTCCAGAGGTCATTCTAATTTTTTGAAGGGAGATTCTTTGAAGTTATTATCAGTCCCTTACCTATGGTGAAAATATGCCATGTCATATGTCAAGAGTTTGTTGGAGCACTTTCTGCTAGAAAACGAAATCAGTGCTCTAAAATGTACTGATGGCTGTAGTGATCAAGTAAATTGATTTAGAATGGTTTTCTGGTTCAGGAGTGCCTAAAACACAAACCCTCAAAGCTGAGGTTTTCTGCAGCTTGCATTTTCCTTCTATCAAATTTTCTGCTCATATAAAGTTCACAATGAATAGCCAGCTCTTTTGTTACTATTGAGTGTTATTTTGCTGATAAATAGCTTATGCCAACATTTTAACATTTCCTATTTCTATTAAAAATAAATTGTTCATCTTATGCATATACTTAAGAAAATATTTATTCTCTAAAATAATACATTTTCCTTAAGTTTTGAAACAAAATTAATTTAAGCAAAAAAAAAAAAACAAAAACAAAAAACAGATTACAGAAAAGATTTGACATAGATTGCAACTTCTTCCCTGGTGGAGACTTTGATATTAAAATAGATAACTTTTTCTTTTTTACATTCATCCAGTTAAAACAATATTTGGACGGTTATCCGTATTGTATTTTCTTAATAACACTAATTTTACAATTGACATAAACAGTAATAGAACTATTACCTATATTAATATTAATAATAATAATAGTAACAAAAAGATCTAAGGTGGAAGCTGCTGAATTTATTTTTGACCACAAGGGGCGATGCATAAGTGGCACTGTCAAAAAGGACGCGCAAGGGATTCTGGGACTTTTAGTTCTCCGTGAGCAACGGCTGGCTTGATAACACTCCGAAGAGCACAAAAAGACTTATGAATAGTTCGTCTGCGTTAAATTTAGCGTGAGTACGAGATGCACAAGCTTTGAATTTGAACAGCTTCTGGTGGATTCGTAGCGAAGAGCAGCTTACTTTGAGTCAAAATAAACAGGAAGTTGTTAGCTTTGTGGGACGTGTAGTTCCGTTTGTAGGCCGCCAAGCTTAATAACAAGGCATACAAAAAAGAAATAACTACAAAATAGCCAAAAACAAAGGCTGTGCTTCTTAACCTTTTGAGAGAACATGCCCGGGTTCACCTGCTGTGTCCCCGGCTGCTACAACAACTCGCACCGGGACAAGGACCTGCGCTTTTATACGTTTCCCAAGGACCCCGCTCTGAGGGAGCAGTGGCTGCGGAACATCTCCCGGGCCGGGGTCAGCGGCTGCTTCAGTACCTTCCAGCCCACCACCGGCCACCGCGTCTGCAGCGTGCACTTCGCCGGCGGAAGGAAGACGTACATCGTCCGGGTGCCGTCTCTCTTCCCCCTGCGGGGCGTCAATGAGCGCAGGAGTCGCCGGGGCAGAGGGAGGAGGTTGACCAGCTCGGCCCCTGCCCCCGGGATCGTCGCCACCAGCGTGCTGGGGAACACTGCGGGCGTCGTCGAGGGCACCATCGGAGGAGAGGTCGGCGACGACAGCATCACCGTGGTTCAGATCGGCAACAACGGGGAGTACTTGGGCACGGCGCGGCTTCCCGCCCAGGTAGAGGGAACCTGTAACTGCACCCCGCAGAGTCTGGTGGAGCTTAAGGTCGAAGACTTAACCGTGGACTCCGGGGGAAACCAGCAGCTGTCCGTCCAGTACCTGAGTGTGACCAGCAGCCCGCTGGACCACTCCTACTCCCTGACCACCGGCACCACGTCTGCGGAGCTGCTGCGCAAGCTGAACGAGCAGCGGGACATCATCGCGCTGATGGAGGTGAAGATGAAGGAGATGAAGGCGACCATCCGCCAGCTGCGAGTGGCTGAAGCTAAGCTGCTGGAGGAGGTGCGGGAGCGGGACCGGTTGCTGAACAGCAGCCCGATGGCTGGGAAGAAGAAAAACTGATGAGGAGGCGACTGAAGTTACCCGAACCGACCCTTTACATGGACCCCAGATTCATCAGGAGGAGTGTGAGGAAAAACCCTGCCCTGTTTTGTATTAGACTAATACCGACTGCCTGGTTTAGGTAGCAGATCGATTAATCTTACTGCTAATCACATAGGAATTGGACACATTTTACGCCCCCAAGATTCCCAGGTCAAGCATATTTCTAAGCGAAAGGAGCAGAAGTTGAACTCTGAACTTTCTGGTCGCACAGGGGTTTTTCTACTGACTGTTTTGACTTTGTGTCCATGCCTTTCAGCTTACAGTAGGAGGCTGACCCAAGCAGCAGCTTGTGCTTCAACACGAAGGGCACCAAGATGAAGACACACTACTGACAACCATTTTCATCATTTAAATGAACTCAGCCCTCATCACAGATGCCTTTCAATGTACTTTAAATTAATTTACCTTTGTTGCTTTTGAAGCTATCTGTGCAAGGTAAGACTAGGTTTAGGAAACTCCTGAGAATAGCAAGCGTCCCATAACATCGGAAATGTTAACAAAGAAAGTTTCAGCATGTTTAACTGTGTTTTTTTTTTTTCTTTTCTTTTTTTGTTTTGCCTTTTCCTGGAAGAAAACATTAACTGAAGATATGATGTGCAGCTTCTACCTGTAATCTGTTTCAAGCTTGTTTTGTTTTTATTTGTTACGCCAGTTCATTGTAAGATGTTGGGCTGAGCATTTTTTTTATTGTGTTGCCTTTAGGGCTTTATGCACAATACATTTTAGACATTTCTTAGTTTTGAAATCAGTCTGACAGATGTGCTCCAATCTCAGTTTGAAGTCAAATGTCATTGTGAAAGTTTTATGCTGACTCACATAAAAGACTTCTCAATGTCAAATTTATTCATATAGAACTTTAAAAACAAGTTTAAATCTGCACCAAAGCGCTGTACAAAAAAGATAAGAGAATAAGTTGATGAAAAGAAAGAGATGTAGTGAAAAAAAAAAGATATATTGATATTTTGTCGCGTTGTTGTCTCTACCTGAGGCTGCAACGAGCTTCTGCAGTGCTTCAGATTCAGACAATGACAGCTGACTGCAGAGTGACGTTTGCTTTAGAAGAATTAAAATAAAACTTTGCTGTGGTTCCTGTAAACTATTTTGAAGTATAATCTTTTGGGGGATTGAATTGTGAAAAAGTTGAACAATATACATCTCTATATTATAAAAGATCAGTCACAAAGATTTGTGTTAAGAGATTGAACATAGCCCTAAAGTGATGGAAGAAAATGGGACTTCCACCCATTTATACCAATTCTCTAACTTCTGTTTGTGGCTTCAAATTTTCCACACTTTGTTCTTTTCTCATGATTGCAGTTATTTTGGAAAGCGCACCAGTTTTTCCTGCTGCCACCACCACTCCCTCATCTCCTTTCTGATGTCGACAAAACATTTATTTCAGGTGTAAATAGAAAAATGCTCTGCTTACTTTTTTCAAAACTTGAGAAGACATAAAACGGTAAGTTTTGTACATTTTAAAGACTCCAAGAGATTTGAGTATAGATCCAAATAAGCACCAAAGCTGTTTGGAAAAGAAGAGATTTGATTTAAATTATTCAGTCCCTCAGTTACAGGATCATTTCAACAGTTGCTTGGAAAATAAATAATTTGTCAAAAAACCCAAGAGGCACACTAGTTAACTGTTTATCACGTCAGCAACAATTCTATAAATGTTAAGTCAGAAGGACAATGTACGCATCTTTACTATACAGAAGTTAGTGAATGAGTATAGATGTGGACAAAATACTAAAGTTTTAACTTTTTCTGTGGTGATATGGCTCTGGATTAAAAAGTTCTGATATTTAACATTGATTCTTACATTTGGGGTGCAAACCTCATGGTTTTCTAAAGGAATTAATCATTTTTGAACAAAGACAAACAATCTTGCCCCGAGGCACAGGCAGCATTTCACAGTTTGTAATATCACTTGTTGATTAAAAATGTACAAAAAGCAACTGTTAAACAAATATAAAAAAACAGAAATTTCTATGAATTGTGGGTTTTGTTGGTTATACTGACAAGCGTTTCAAACTGTTTTACTTTATAATTGATATAATTCTTACTGAACGCAAACCTAATGATTGCTTAATGACTTAAGCAATCATGAAAAGCAATTTTTTTGGCTTTAAAAACATTTTTCTTCAATAAAAATTGTAAATATCAAGTAAAAAGAATCAGATTAAAATGTTAGCTGTTGATTCTGGAAACCGACATTCTTCTACCTGAAAAGATATTATGAAGATTAGATGAGTTTGGCTTCTTTAAAACATCCAGGATCACATACATTTACCAAATCATATATGTAATAAACATCAACCATTATTACTGCAGGTGAAACTTTAAAACATAAAGTCTATGGATAGAAATGTGTGTTATGTGTGCAAGAAAACCAAAAAATCCGACACCTCTGGGAATGTTTTGCTTTAGTTTTGCTAAACTAAAGCAAACTTAGAGGGTTTTATCTCTAAGTTGGGAAACAATGAAGTATTAACCCAAAATGCTGCCCGCGAGTGAAACGATTCAGACGTAAAAAGGAGAATTTAATGGTTCCCAAACACAAACTATATGAAAACTTTGTTTCAGCACTAAAAAAATTATTTTAACGCACAATTGAATTTGTAGTTATGGCTTATCACTCAATGAAGTGTTAAAAGATATAATTTACTGGACTTTTGCCTGCAGGAGTTGTCCCAATTTTGTAAAAGTGACAATTAAAAACCAGAAATGACTAGCAAACAGCTAATTGTTGTAGCATGATTTTTAACCTCTAGATGGCGATGAGATGAATAAACACTTAATCTCCTTTCAGCTCCCATCAATATGGTATAATTCAGTTTATGACTGTATCTGATGGCAGGTTTAATAGTAGCTCTCTAATTATTTTTGTGCGGGCTGAAATACTTGGTGCAGCTCCTCCACGCAAACTTAAACGCATGAAACCTGTCGTGCCAGTGTGCATGAAACAGCGAAAGCAGCAGAGATGATGAATGAATAGACGGAGCGAGGATCCAGATCCCTAATCTCATCTGGATTTATTTTTTACCCCCAACAGTGTTGCATAACTCCTTAATCCAGCGCTGTCCATCAACTTTACACAACTCTATATTTATTTTCTGTCGTTTACAACTGATGTCTTCCTGTTTGGACCAACAGCTTTCCCTGTCCGGTTCATCCAGTCATTCAGGATGATGAGAGAGTGAATGCAAATGTAACAATAAATAAGAGTTTGACGCAGGAGGAGAATGTAAAACAGCAAATATTAGAAATAATTACATTTACACAGAATTTGTTGTAATTAAAAGGTGTCAAAATTTGAAAAACAGTTTTGTCTCCCAATGTTTTGGCCAGATTACAAACTGAGATCAGGATCAGTAATCCATGTGATGCAGAGAAATGAGTTTGAAGGATTTGTTCAGGAAGACTCTAACAGGTGATGATTGTGTGTCCTGGTTTCTGGTGAAACTTTGTGGCGCTTTTTGATCCCATTATGGGTATTTTTCTTTTACAAAGATATTTCTGGTTACTTATAATTGTAATTAATTTATTCAGTTATTAATGTAACTTCCTGAACAGGTTTTCCCCCTCAGTCATTAGACTGATAATGACTCAGACAACTTATCCACTTTACCATCGACTGATCACCAATCATTAGTCTATGAATGCTGCCATGACTACATTGCTTAGGCAGAAGCAAAATGCTTTTATGAATAAGCATTTCTCATCAAAATAATGATTGCAATTGCAACCTTTACAAATACTTTAGCTCAGTTTTGTTAAATAATTGATGATTTTAAGCTTTGGGGGGACTTGTGGCCTTTATTCTCAATAAACAGACAAGAAATGCAAAGGAGGTGAAACATGGAGCAAAGAGCTCAAAGAATATTTATTTGTATACCACATTTCAGCAACAATTCAAAGTGCTTTCCACGATGAAAAAAATAAAACAAGGAGCAAGGAGAAAATGTCACATTGCAGCAGCAAAATAAAAGAAAGTCATGAAAACCTAAAAATAGATAGCAGAGTGAATCAACCTTCCAGTTATTAATCAACGTAAACTCTAAACAAATGTGGTTTTAGCCTTTATTTAAAGAAGTTCAGCTCTTCATAATTCTTAAAATCCAGACTAGAGGAGGATAAAAACTGATGGAAACAAAACTGCATCTATTAAAAGGTCATGTGATCGCATTGCAATTATTTCAATCTGATGGTCCCACGTCGCTGCGGTGTGCCGCCTCTTGGGCCCAGAGATAAACAGTGATTTGGTGTCCACTGGAGTCATAAAGCAGCTGTTTTCACGCCGATGGTAAATCAGCTCACAGCTGTTGTTACCGACTGCTGAGGTCCAGCTGACGGAGGCGACATCTGAGCTCATTCCTGTGGCTCTCCAGGGAAAGATTTTGGAGAAACCCGAACCAACATGTATTCTTACAGAATCAGCTACTGAGATGCATTGACTTAATTTCCTTCTGGGAACAATATTTTTGAATATGAATTGAATTAGGACTCATTTATTAAAGGCATAGTATGTAACTTTTACATAAAATATGTTCTTATATTTGTTAAAACTCTCACAATTTCATGGAAGTATAATAATATAATAATGTAATCAGTAAAAAGACCATTCTCCTCCACTGCATCCCTGAGCTACTATTGCCTCAGAGCTCCCGATCAAAAACAACCAATCAGAGCCAGGAGGAGGTTCTTAGCGCTGTCAATCAAGCTCATGTACTCACTGCTACATGTGCCAAATGTACTGATGGCAGAGAAACAACTGAGAATTCATGAAAGGCTCTTGTAGCTGAGAGACAGAAGGAGAGAGCAGCAATGGAGGGGTGATTGACAGCGCTAAGACCTGTCTTCTGGCTTTTATTGTTTTTATTTAACGATGGGAGTACTGGCAGAACACAGAATTTTTTCAGAGATTACCTGTCTTATACAGTATCATACTGTCACAATATAGTGACGGTTTGAACAAATATATTAAATTTTTTTTTTTTCATAGCTGTTAAGTGGTGCAGCTTTAACCGGTTAAATGAAAAATCTTATAGAATGTGCTCTTTTTTAAATCTGATTAATCATCAGAATAATTGATAAAACAATTTACTGAAATAATTTAGTTGCAGCCCTAGCTTCTAGTTATGAAAGCATCTCTTTCTGTTTCAACTTGGTGATGAGCTTCTAATGCGTCGTATTCTAAATCGGTCGATGGAAATCTAAAATTTTAACTTATGTTTAATACAATGAATCTGAGCCATCTGGACGGCATAGGTAGAAGATAATTTACAAAAAATATCTCAAACCAGTTTCAGTTTGTTTTGAAACATTTTAGCCTCTAGTTAGGGCTGTTTACCACTTGGTGACCCACATAGGTGTATGGAGTCCCATGAGCGGATGCTATTCTCCAAAGCCAGCCTGCATCTGCGTCAGATTCCCAGGTGAGCTGTATAAACTTATCCTCTCTGGGACGTCATCCATCTGCTCAAATGAAGTGTCTAAACACCACAAATCCGTTTCACACTTTTGTGTGTAATGTTTCAGTCCAGCACTGTCATAAATAGCTCCTTGTTTCTGAATAAAAGCAGCATGCAGGGATGTCAGCAGCCATGTGTGGCTGAGAACACAATCACCATTAAACCCCACATAATTCATTTGTGTTTCAAATAAATGCTCCAGATACCGAAATACCGGAAATGAGAATGCTTTAATCCACTGAGCCGTGTTGGGATGCCGTCATTGGTCCCGCCGTACACACACACACACACACACACTGACTGACTGCCACAACATCCTCTTTGCGTTGCATGATGCATTGGTCTCTGTCACTGTTAATCCAGCTCGGTTGTGCCTCTGAGCATTGTCGTTCTTTCTGCAATCTGCCAATTTCCCAACGGATGGGCCACAACAGAACATTTTAAAGCACCAACGTTTTCGTGTGTTTTTGGACCTCCAGCTAGTGGGGGCTTCACTCCGGGTCAGAGGTGGTTCTCAGTTCCTGAACCCAGCCATGAAGTCCTGTCCAGGAGTTGCGGCTGTGCTGCTGCCCATCGCTCTCTGCCTGAGTAAGGATATTACTCTGCTTTCAGCTGGTTTCATTTACCTTTCTCATTGCTTGAAAAGTTTGATTTTTTTCTAATTTATGCTTTTATCTTACTGAGATGTTCATGTTAAGGTCCTTTTGAGATAGTGTGAAGATAAAAGTTTACACAGTAAGTTACACTTGAATGAGAATTTTATAAATGTTCTACTGACAGTTTAATGGTATGGAGAAAAATTATACATGGAAAAATAAAAGAAAGAGCTAAAACTGACCATAAACCTAGTTGAACATCAGTTTATCTTTTACAGATTTACAGCCAAGAAACAGAGAAATAAAGTAAACTCACAACTAAAGAAAGTTATTTATGTGTGTTATCGATATTTGTTTGGATCGATCCAAAATAATATCGATAACAAATAGGCTTGATTCTTCGGTTTTAGATTCCCTCTTGAAATTTAATTTTTGTATTGTAGTTTTTCAAATCTACCTCCAAACAGACTTTGTTTAAATTTTTTTTTTTACATTTATTTATTTTTTTAGGAATAAATGTACACTAGAAATCTTAATATGGTTTTAAAGTATTTTGTAGATACCTATAACTTTGTCCAAATTCCATGGCAAATTTGAAAGAAAAAGAAAATAATAATAATAATAATAATAATAATAATAATAATAATAATAATAATAATAATAATAATAATAATAATAATAATAATAATAATAATAAACACCTGAGAGACACATCAAACTCAAACAAAAAGTATTGATATCAGTATTGCTATTGGTGATACTGGCTGTGTATTTATTTGGTTTCTAGTCGATATCAAAACATGCAGTTCTGCACACCTCAAGTTGACTAGCTGGCTGAAACCAAAATATTTTGATTTATTTTATGACATAATTACAGCTGTAGGCTATTTTTGTTACAGGTGGTTTGAGAGAAATTTGTAATTGTGAAGCCAATCTGAGTTCTTCTCAAAGTTCTGGGCCCAAATGTAGGCAACTGATTAAATCCCCAGGTAAAATTATGCACTTTAATAATTAGAGGAGTGTTTGGTAATAAAGTATTTTGTTATCTATACTGCTGAAAGTTTAAGAAGAGTGAATAAAACAGAGAGCAGATTTAATGGTTTTATGGTTAAGCTGTTTTAAGCATTTTGTTGCCAGTGTTTTGTTTGAATCTTAATAGTAGCTCGGAGGATCACTGGAGAAGAGAAAAGGTATTTTTCTGGCATAATGCTGCAATACTTACATTTTATTGTAATGAAATGCCAAAGAAAGAAAGCTGTACTTTTCTATGAAAGAGTCCTACAGTTCTGCCCCTCACCCACCTGTTGCTGCACACTGCTGTAGAGCTACTTGTTATTTATTAAGGCAGTGGTTCCCAAAGATTTTCTCGGCCCCTCTATGGATTACAATAATATCCCCCCAAAAATGAAAAAAAAAAATCATCTGGGCACACACATCGTTCAACCAGATACAAACCTTTACACATATGTTGTTTTCAAACTCCTTTGAAGTTTATTTCACACTTCACGTTGTAACAAAACACACTACAAACCACCAGCGGAACAAGGGCGGGGCTAATGACCGGGCCCTTTACACTTGGGCTACATAATTACATTGACTCTAAGATATCTAGGTATCGATTTTTCATCCGCGATTATCGATACGTTAAACCATAGGGGTCCATCGGCTTATACAGTCTTTTTAACATGTCTGGTTTGTGATGGCGTAGCAGCAAGACTCCGCCTCCCCCAGTTTCACCTTCAACTTGTGCTTAAAGTGCACATTTTAAACTACACACCAGTTTTTAAATCGTGTTAGTAGGCCAAGTAAACCCAGTCGTGTGACACAACATTTTATTCAATATTTTACACCCACCATGTCACCAAAATCAGTCGGTCTTGAAAAATTTTTAGTAACCATGTGTCAACAATGACTAGAACAGCCAACTATATAATCTACTGGGGAAAGTAGCTATGATGGTTAGAAGAAATAGTTGTTTTAGCGTTTGTTTTTGTTTTTACACCAAGAGGTAAAACATTAAAAGGAATATTATCCAGTCCAGGAAGCACATGTACTTGAAAACTATTGAATTTCTGCTAAAATTATCTGGCCTCTATTCTTTGTTTTTGATTTAGTCGTACATCACTAGCTAAAGGAAAACAAATTGTGGTTACATCTGTTACAGTTGCAACATGCTTGCAGTGGTTCCTCCTTTTTAAAAATAATAGCAATTACAGCATGGTGTACATTTATGTTATTTTATTTTAATTGTTTATTTTGGTTTGATACAAGACAACTGTAGGTTAAACAGTGTGACCCATATGGGCTCTAGAAGAGTTGTTCAACTTGTTTAGGATGTAATTATGGTGCCCGACTGGTTCTGCTAAAATACATCATATTTAGTCTCATACAAATGGTCCAATGTGTGTCCAGTCCTACTTCAAATCTACATGAAACCCTTATGTTAACCAAGTTAAACCGGCTAATTTGTTCAAATCTATTATTTTTGTCCTACAATAGAAAATGTCTGTTGAGACTGATTATTGAAAAACTGGAAAAGATAGAAAAACAATTTAATTTTTAATGATTAATTATAAGAGAGTGAAACATTTTGGGGTAAAATAAATAGATAATTAATAAAAAAGGGTCTGTGTTTAAAATCCAGGGGTCCTTTATGTCGTTTTTACTTTAATAAAATGATGCCTGTCCCTCTGTAAGATTAAACACTTATTCATAACTCTGACTGTAAGGAAGACAGAAATGCTCAGAATCTCAGGGGCGATCCATAGTTCATCACACACAGACAATATTAGCACCCAGTGAGCATTCAATGCATTAAAGTGACATGATGTGATGGATGCAGGAAGTGATGAAAGGCCCCCAAGCGAAGTCCTGCATTCCTGACCCTGGAAGAGTTCACAAAATCCTGCTGCGAAATCAGCAAAACCAGGAAGACATCTTAAACCCAAAGTATTTTTATTCCACCGCTGTATTTAGATAGTTGAGTTAAAGTGCTGACTTAGAGTAATCTATGAGCTGATCAATGTACTCGGACAGCTTGTAAACATTTTGGCTTTTGATGGAGAGTAATCTGTCCAGATGAATGGACTATGACATTCGGTTGATCCATCTAAGCAGCAGATGGATTTTTTTTTTGTTACTAAAATGTTTATCTCTTTGCTGTATTTCCCATGTTCCTTCATGTTTATCATTAAATATCTCTGCATTTTCCTCCTCCAGGTTTGGCTCCGGTGTGTCTGGGAGCTGCCATCCCCTCTGCGTGCGGAACCATCTACAAGAGCTTCGCTCAGTGTCTCATCTCACTGGGGGACAGTTTGGTGGAAACACAAAAAGACCAGAACACACAGGACATCGACTCAATCTGCAGGTGTGTGTGTGTGATGTCACGTTCCTTTATTACTTACACAGTTACACCTTTTGTGTCAACTGCAGTTGCTATGAATGAGAATAAATTACCAGAAATTAAGTATTTTGAGCTTTATATTATGTTATGATGTTATTCCATCATCAAAAAACACACCTGGAGTGTTGCCTTGACTCTCTTAGAGAAATCCTTTTATCTCCTAAATGTTCAGCTGCGCAAAACGTTTCCATGTTTCTTCCTCACAGAGCACCAGCCCCCACCCCACTCAGCTCCTTCAGACTAGCCAGCAGCAATTAGCAAACACCTGGTGAAACTGCACATCTGCTGAGCTCAGTATTTGAGCTGCTTTTCAGTGCAATGCTAGTGAAAATGTCATTAGATGAGCGACATTGTGATAACTTCCTGAAGCTGGAGTTTCAGAAAGATCAGGAGTTTTTAAAGCGACAGACGGCCAAAGTTTTTAAAGTCGTATTTGATAAGAACAGCATTTTCTTAACACACCTATAGTTACTTGATTGCGCTATGAAATGGAAAACACATCACACTGCACCTTTAAGAATTTTATTTGTAAAATGTTGGTCCGTCCTGCTGGAATCCGTTCACATCTGTGGTTGCAACATGCACTCTCCTACCGAGATCCAAGCGCTTCAGTTTTTCATTCAAATTTTCTCTCCCCATCCTCTCCTCTTGAAGGTCCTGGAATACTTTCCATGTCTGTGCCAGCTCTGCCCTGGCTGGCTGTCCAGGAGAAGCAGCAGCCATCTGGGAGTCTCTGAGACAAGAGTCCAGGAAGGCCCAGTTTTCTGGAAACCTCTATGACATGTGCGCCAGCCGGACCACTCTCCCCCCCAGCACTCTGCCTGCACCCGACAGCTCTGCCACCTCGGACCAGATGAACAAGGAGACTCTGAAGGGCCATGCACACAAACACGGCTCCGCCAGCATCTCGGTGCTGCTGCCTATGTGCAGCATGCTGCTGCTGCTGTCCCCCAGGAGCTAGTCCCCAAACAGAGACGCTCACGCAGCAAAGTCTCAACAAGCTGCAGGCTTTTAAACTGGAGAGGCTGGGTGATTGTTGTCTGCAGTGAATGAGTGACTGTGCTCTTGTGGATTTGTACTTCAGAGAGCCTGAAGCAAAGTTTCTGGTGAAATGTTTATAGATATAAAAGTTTTCATCTTACTGATGGTAGCTGCTCCACCTGCTGTCCAGTTCACAGAGGAGAATATTACAGAACATTCAGTTCTGAAAAAGTTTCATTTAATTTACTGGATTTGTACTGGTTCATTTAAGATGGGGCATTTTTGATACTGTGCAGAAGTCTTGGGCCTCTTAGTTTCTTTATATCTCAGAAATGGATTTAGACATTTTTACAATCTTTTTAAAGTAGCCTAGGAAATTGTTTTCTGAGTATTTTGTGTTTGCTTTGAGCCTCTTATAAAAACAAAAATACCCCATGACACAGAGAATTACATTTCAACATCTCCTTAGAATAGAAAATAAAAAAATATAAATGTCCTTTATTGTTTTTCAAGGGGGAAACTCAGATGTACTGGCGGCAATGTGACATTCAGGTCGAATAATGCAGAATTACACAAAAATAAAAATATAAAAGCAGAACTAGCAGTACAGCAAGGGCTGATTTACAACATAAGAAAAGACTGTACAGTTAATAAAAACCATAAACGTGCAGTCAAATAGGATGATTTTTGAAAAATTGTATATATGTGAATAAAAAGCAACAACAAACATTTACCAGAAGTGAAAACAATCAGTGCAAACAACAGCAGGGATGAAAACACTTATTGAGTTTGTGGGTCCAGTCTGTCACTGAAGGAGCTTCCCAGCGTCATGCACAAAGTCCAAGACAGCGATAATGAAATCATTAATGATTTTGTCTTAGTTAAAGTCCTTCCTGTCTCCCACAATCTGCCTGGGGTCAAAGGGCATCCTAAAGGAGGCTTGTTGACAGATTTGATTACAAACTGGATAATGATGCATTTTTCAAGCTCTGTGTTGGGTTTTCTAACTTATTTTGATCACCTGTCCTGAAATAACATAAGTGTAAGTTAAAAATGGAACCAGAGGAGAAAAAACTTCAAAGTGAATTTATTCTGATCAAGATCATCAGAAGATTGGCTCATTTGAGGCAAATTTAAAGAAAGTATGAGAGACTTAAGACTTTTGCAAAGGACTGAACCCAATTAGCTATTAGATAAATATTAAAAGTTTATTACTCTGTGCTGGAGCTTTTTTTTTTTTTTGCCAACCATTCATCCTCCTTTAACAGATTTTTTTTTTATTAAGCAATTATTTAAACCATAACAGTGACAGCAGATCTGAAATAAAATCTGAATCCAGCAGAAATATTTGTTACAGGCGGGTAACTTTTTTCCACTTCTGAAGAAGAAAATGAGATTTTTAAACAATGCTGTAAATCCTGATGTACATGCCATAATTTCATGTTTATGCAGCGGCAGCTTTGCGCAACATGTTTCGCTGTGTAGCAAATTTTAATAATCGGAAAGTTAAACCCTTCTTGTTTCTAAATTTGGATGTGTAACAACATTTCATCCACTGCTTCAAGAGCTGTCATTCAGTTGAACATTTTTTCCCAGAACCTATTTTATTAAAAGGTTCTGATTTTAAAAGAAAACTAAAAGAAAGAGGTTCCTCTTGAAGAAAAAAACAAAACTTTTATGCCTGTAAATGAAACTGCTGGAGCTCCTTCCACGTCTGCGTGCTTGTCATGGTTTGTTTGCCTCTTTGTGTAAAACTGATTCTCAAACTAAATGCTGATTTAAAGGAGTGTGAGCAGAAATAAAGCAGTTTTAAGAGTGAATTCAGCCTCTCTTGTATCAATGTGTGTAGGTGAAACAAGGAGGTGGGCTTGCATGTTAAACTTAATACTCTTAAGCCGTTTCATAACCGCTGATTCATGAGCAGATTAATCTCGTCTTTCTCCTCTCGTGCACGATGAAGCGGGTCGTTCCTTGAAACCTTTAAATTTCTCTTTATCTCCTCGAGTGGAAGATGACACAGTGCATCAGGTTGTCAGTCAGACTCATCTGAGTATCCTTGTTTACGTTCCCTCACAAAATGACTCGTTATTGAAAATCAGGATGTGTGAAATCTGTCAGGCTTCTTTTTTCTGGACTTTAACAGCTTTTTAAAATTCTGCGTCAGATTTAAATTTCCTCTCTGAGGACAAATAAGGATATTTTTAACCCATTCTGGACATAATGGGGAATTATCAACAGTCTTACAATAAGTCACTATTGACATACAGGAATATTATGATTTTGTTCCTCGTACGTCAGAAATAAATTACATGAACAAACTGAGCTTTATTCCCTGAAGCCTATTTAAGTGTTAATCTACAATAAAACTCTAGAAGCAGTGTTTGTGTGTAGATGATTGGTTGATATAATTTTAGTGATATCAAGCTAAATTAAATTAGATTTTTCTCTGTTTTATAAAAATCTACCTGAACGATGAATCCTTTCGTAAATATAAATCTGCATTATATAATAAAACAAGAAACAGAAGATGCTTTTATATAGGATTTAAAATTTATTCTGATTCAATAGAATAACTAACGCAAATACTCAAAAACGAAGGTAACCAATGGGCTGAGAAATCCTTTAAAGTTTAATTAATCCACATGCAAGCAAAATGAGTCTGAAATTTAAACTTTTGACCCAAGTCATGCAGCTTAAAAGACTATAATCCCTGATACCAAAGTTCCAATGTAAAAACCTCTGAAGTAAAAAAAGTTCCAACAACAACAAAACACCAAGATGTTCTCGTTTTGTGGCATTTAGCAAGTGGAAATAATTTTGACAAGACGTTTGGTCTGATTTACTTTCGACAGTAACAAAAGAATGTGTGGCTCTTTTTATTCAGTGTATGTAAATGTCTGGTTTCAACCGTAAATCCATAAACATATCTAAGCTCTCTAAACGCCACCTGCAGCTCGTTTGAATCATTTTAAGGCTTCCTCATTATGACTAAGGCCAATGAAATGGAAAATGAAGAGTCATTATTTTGACCTAGGAGTGTCATAAGATGCAGAACAACAGGCGGCAGGGTTTTTATTTGAATGTTTTTCGTCCACAGCAGGCGCCATGCAGCATCAAGCTCGTCAGGGATTATGAAATTCATGTGCCGTGGATTGTTCTATCCATATGGAAGGATTTGGGTACATCAGAGCATAAATCTGTAAGCTGTATGTCACATCAACTTTACACATATTTGAATTTAAAAAAATCCAACAATAAGATCATTTATAAACTATTAATGCAGAATGATCTTTGCTAACCTGCTGCTGCTCCTGTGTAACACGCATACCTGGGGCCACTAAGGCAGGGGTTTGCTAGTGGCTCTTTGGTCCTTCAGTAAGAGCTAACTGGCTAAAAATGAAAAAGAAGAACCAGGTAATCTTTTAAAACAAAGATATAAAAATAAGTCATGGTTTTTGACTGCTTTAAAATTTTCAGCAACATTTGCATTAGATTTCCACAAAGAATGACAGCAAAAGTACCAGTGATGTGTTTTAAAATTTGTTTTCTTTGGAATCTGTGTCCATTATTATTATTACTATTATTATTATTATTATTATTATTATTATTATTATTATTATTATCTAATCTCTTTTATGTTTATTTAAAAACCTAAAAATAGAAGTAAAACTTTGGTTCCTTAGAAATGTTCTAGATATTTGTCTAAAAAGTTGTCTTTTCAAAAAAGTTATATGACATTTGCAGATAAAGAGCTCTTTAGGTTGTAAAGGTGGCAAATTCTAACACTAAAACATGTATAAGCTGACTAAAAATACAAATAATCTAAAAAAAATGTAATATGTGAAAACATTAAAATAATTTAAAAAATGTTTTTCTGAATTGTACTATATTTGCAGTATTACATCACAAAATGCAATGTTAATTTTTACCCCCTTCAGTCAAGAAATTAACTCTTACTGAGATGTGTTGGAGGAAGAATGCATTAAAAAGCTGCCTGACATTATATCTCCAAAACTAGAGTTGGTCATCCATGTTACACAGCAAACATTGCAATTCTGCAGTTGCAAAAAGATCAATATTTTACAATACTAATTCAAATTGTGAGCTTAGACAACTATTCCTTCAGTTGGTTTTGCTCTCATCAGAGAAGCTTTTTAGAAGAAGCTGCCAAAAGCACCACAAACAGTAACAACAAAAAACACACGTGTCTGTTTCTCATTGTCATATTAACTCAATGTAATATTCAAAGTAAATGATTTGCATGTTTTTTTGTAGCACATCTCAGATGCTTCATGTTGTCAGTGATGGTTGACTGAACACAAGCAAACGCTCACTTTTGTGTCACATTTTTCACCCGAGTGTGAAATGTTTGACATTCACAATTAAGACCAGTAGGTGCTGCTTTATATACCCCCACACACCAGGTGGTCGCAGTGGTTTCCTGTCTGGGAACGTGTCCTTTTGACGTCCTTTGTCCTGAGTGTTTGAACCGGGTGAGTGTCATGGAGGAACTGGCCCTGGAGAGCATCAGTCAGCTGGCCCGGTCGGGTTCTTTCGCCGACCCCCCGCGGCTCGGCTCGGTCGGGGCGGTGTTCATCATGCTGAAGTCCGCGCTGGGAGCGGGCTTGCTTAACTTCCCCTGGGCCTTTGGGAAGGCTGGGGGTGTGAGTACCGCCATCACCGTGGAGCTGGTGAGTTCAACACGAGCTTCCCCTCGAAAGAAAGTCCTTCACAGTTTTCTTGCTGGGTTTTGCTTCGGACGAAACAGCCGCCAGTTTTTGTGTGGCAAAACAACTGAAAATAATGGTGAAAATCTCGTTATTTGTTGTGCGGTCCAACAGGTTTTTATTGCTTGCTAACGGCCAGGACTCCTAGGTCTTAAAAGCCACGTAGGCACTAATATTTGTCCGTGACGTGACGCGCTATTTAGCTGCTAAGCTAACCGGAAATTGCGAACAATCATGACTTGCAGCAAAATCTTGTCCGAAAGACTTTTTTTTTGTCTGATCCTGGACTGTAAAACAACCCTCTCTTTTTGTGAACGCAGTGCTGACACAAATTCACATTTAATAAAATGTCTTCTCAGTTTTGCGTCCAGTGAGTTAAAATCCCATAAAGTAGCCTAATGGTGAAGCTTAATGCTAAGACATTTCTCAACATTACTGCAGATCACAATTTATCAGTTTTCTTGCCATAAATCATACTGTTTTCAGGGCTTTTTAATTTCCATTTTAACTTTTCTTTTTATTTTTGCTCTATTTTCTCCTTCCCCTTCTAGTTTATTGTCTATCCTGCACCCACAACTCTGATGTCTAAGTTGTATTTGAATACTTATTTCCATTACTGCTTTGTGTTTTCTACACATCTTTCAATAAAAAAAAAAAAAAAACCCCACTGCAAACATAGAAGAGCTGAGCTGAAGAACGAGGCTTTCAATGTTAAGTATTTGGAAGTGCAACCAACACGGATTGAATGATTTCATTCACTTCCTCTGCTGCCATTGCTAAGACTACAGGCAGGTTCTAAAACAGCGCAAGAAATCGACATTGTCATTTACAATTTCTAGCTTGATTGAAACTTTTTTTTGGGAGAAATCCACTACAATTGGAGTAATCCCAGACAGAGCAGTGAAGGGAGATGAGAATCACGATGAAGGCAATGGCCAGGCTAATGCTGACCTGCAACCCTCTCTCTCTCTCTTCTCGGTGTGAAAGAGGCCTCCTTTTTCACAGCTGAGCTCTAATGAAGCTTTAAGTTTTGGTGTGGACTTTCACCGAATTGCATCTGACTACAGTAAAACATGCTTTCTAAGAACAAGCAAAGCAGGAGTCTGAGTTTTATGTTGTTGTTCCAGGATTTTGCTCCTGATTTACTGAATCTTAATACCTGTTCAGGTCCATAATTTTATTTCTCATTTGTTAGCATGTGAGGCATAAAAGCAAACATACTACCACTCTCATTGGTGTGACCCATATACGTATTTTAACTGTTGTATGTTTATAGGGACAATTATTTGGGTCATTTTGGCTTTATCTGATTAAAGATTTTTGTAAACTGTCATAGTTATAAAAAGTGTCTCATTGTTAGTAAATCACAAGTTAATGTTTTTTAGCAATAATAATTCTGGGTTGGGTTCTTGTTTATATCTCTCTCCTGCCAAGAGGGTTGTAACTTTTAGAAAGATTTGTTAGTCACTCATTTATACAGACTCATTTAATTTAATGATTCTCTTGACGTTGTAGATCCGTCTTCATATAGCATTAAATGCTGTGAAATGAGTTGGATTGTAGTTCTTTAAGAAAACTTTGTTATTCTGTTATGCTATCTTGATCTTTGTTTTCTCATTTGTAAGCGATGGTGGTGATGCCAAGGTTAGTATTTCTGTTCTAGTTATGGTGAAAAATTAAGTAATTTTGAGAAAACAGGCTGTGGTACAACATTCACAGGTGTGTCCATGGCCATAAGTCTAAAATCTTCGAGCGGGAGTGACACCAAATATGGATTAGTGTTGAACTCTTCATCGTTTTCCTTTGCAGGTGTCTCTGGTATTCCTCATCAGTGGTCTGGTCATCCTGGGCTATGCGTCGTCCGTCAGCAGACAGAAGACCTATCAGGACGTAGTGAGGGAGGTGTGTGGACGAGCTGTGGGACGGCTCTGTGAAGTCTGTTTTTGCTTCAACCTCTTCATGATAAACGTCGCCTTCCTGGTGGTGGTGCAAGACCAGCTGGAGAAACGTAAGTAAAGGTAGAACGAGCTGGGCAACTAGTTTATGATTTGATAATTGTATGTTCTTTATCTCTTTCTCATGTAAACTCAGGTAAGACTTTGAGTGTCATTGATGAACTTGGTGACCTGGACAATAATATGTCAAGGAAACTAAAACTTGGCTCCTGCTCTGAAAGATGTTCTTTTTCAGCTTTAAGATATTTGATATTTTGCTTTTCTTATCTTTGAGTTGTTTCAGGTAGTAAATGTTCAGCTTTTTTCAGTTTTTCCTGATATTTAGCTCCACTATTAATGCATCCAAATACTTGTTATGCCTTGTGTCATAATCCTCTTTTGACTCCAAAGCCTTGGGTCATGTAGCGAACATTGGCTCTTTAAAATAAAGATATTTGCAAACTAATCTGCAATATAAGTTGCTTTGGTTACAGTTTGATTGCAAAAATTTTTTTTTTATTGAACATTTACAGTAGTTGGAGTATTCAAAGCTAATGCAGCTATGTCAATCATAAGTTGTCAGTCAAAATTTAGCCATTTATGTACAGATTTTAAAAAATCATCTGTGCAAAATAAAGTCAATCACAAAAATGTTCACACACATTCGCAGAAAAACGTAATATTTGAGAGTTTAGCTTTATCAAAAATTTTGCAACAGAATGTAAACAGAAGCTCAGTTTTTTTTCTCTCTCTCTCTCTTCAGTGTGTATTTCTTTATACGAGACTGTGACCGGATCAAGTGAGGCAGACATGCCTTATCACTGGTACACCGACCAGCGCCTTGCCCTCTTCATCATGTGTCTTCTCATCATCCTGCCTCTGTCCATCCCAAAAGAAATCGGCATACAGAAATACACAAGGTACTCTGTGTTTATATCACCTCTGATAATGTCATATATATATATTTTTTAATTTTTTGAATTTTTTTTTTGTGTCAGTGTATTAGGGACGCTTGCGGCTACGTATCTCTGTGTTGCAGTCGTCGTCAAGCATTACCTAATGGACAGCCACAGGATTATTTACCCACAGCAAAGCCGAGGGTCAGTACCTCTCATTTTTCTTGAATGGTGTTTGTACATATCTAGCGTTTTATCTAATTTACAATAGTAAATATGTGTATCTTTCAGAGTCAGTTCCTGGACCTCCATGTTTAGTGTGGTACCAACCATTTGCTTTGGCTTCCAGGTACGATCATCTTCAACCACATTCAAGTTGTCAATGATGAGCACAATGTCTTTTAGCTTCCTGTTTCTTGCAGGACTTTCTTTTTGCGTTAAAGCACGATTTTCTGAGAAATCATTCCTGATTTTGTTGAGTTATTTTTCAAATCCTCTTTTATGTTTAAAAACACAAAAACCAATAAGATAATTTCCACTTCTAAGAAATGCCTAAAATATATCAAATGAAATGTAATCATCGAGGCTTTCTATGATATTTGGGCCAGTCTGGGGGAGATGGATTTTCTAACATTAGGCTGCAAAGCAACAACATCATGCAATTGTTACTGAATGTGTTGCCCAGTGACAGAAAACTGGATTTAAACATACAAAATTCACAGCTTCCCTGTTTTTAGTCTTCCAATTAGTTCTCAACTGCTTCTAAAAACAGCCGAAGCTCTTAAACAAACCTCCCAGAAGTTTTCTGAAAAAAAGTTCATGTTTCTGGTCTCTGAGAAATGAGCCGTTTCAAAAAATCTCCTGATTGGTGTTACATGGCACTACACCGTTACCTAGCCACCCCAGGGAAGCCCAACCTCGCTACCTAGCAACCGAAGTGGAATTCCAGCAGGTTTGGTTAGTCGGTTTTACTGCTGTATGCTCTGTTCAAGGGCTGCTGGAAAAGACAAGTGTTCAGTTGTTCACTCATCATCTAGAAACCATGTGCTGCATTTTTGTTGGCTCTACTTCTGCTTTTGGATGTCTAAGATGTACAGTTGAATAATTGCACATCTATTTGGAGCCATTTCCATGCACAAGTGTTGAGCAGCAGCTTATTTTGATTTAAAGTGACAGGAGCTCAAAAAAGGGAAAAACTAACCAAACAAAAATCTCATTATCTAAGAATGATTTTATGCAAAAAAATGTGATGAACATGTTTTGTTAGCGGATAGACCTACCCCGACCTGTTCAGGAAAGCCTACTAGGTCACATTTAATAAATCAAGAGGAATCCTGTGTTTTGAGTGCAGTGCCATGAAGCCTGTGTAGCAATCTACAGCAGCATGGAGAACCAGAAGCTCCTCCACTGGGCGGCCATCTCTGTGCTCTCCATGTTTTTCTGCTTGCTCACTTACACTCTGACTGGTGGGTTCACTTCTCAAACATCGGTCTTTCCCCAGAACGTTCTCACCTGTTGACCACGTCCACTTTCTCTTTCACCAGGTGTGTATGGCTTCTTGACCTTTGGGCAAGCCGTAGCCTCAGATATTCTGATGTCGTATCCTGGAAATGACGTGGTGATAATCATCTCCAGGCTGCTTTTTGGCGTATCGATCATCACGATATATCCCATTATTCTTCTGCTGGGGAGGTAATTCCAGTCTCAGTGGCGTTTGTGTGGTTTTGAGGATCCTCATGTTGTCTCTGTGTGGAACAGATCTGTGATCCTGAACCTGGTGCTACGACTTCAAAGAAATCGTTGCGGGGTCGTCACTCATTCGTTTGAGAGTCGCTGCAGAGTCATTCTGACTGTGGCCTGGATCGCCTTCACGCTTCTGATTGCCATGTTTGTCCCAGACATGGCCGACGTCATCAACGTCATTGGAGGAATCAGTGCCTTCTTCATCTTCATCTTCCCTGGCAAGCAGAAACGTTATTTATTTTTTTTATCAATTAGAGCACGTTTAAACTCTAAACTCTCGTTGGAACTGGTTGATATTTAATGTAGCCGTCTGACCGTTGTGTCTACTGCGAAATGAAATTTATGTCATTAAAAAAACTAAACAAATCTAATTCAAATTCACATTTTTTATTCGCTCTATTTAAAAAGAAAAGAAAAAGAACAGGGAGACAGAGCAAAGCAAAAAACCCTTTTTAGCAGACAGAAAACTTCCAGCAGAACCAAACTGATTATCTGGTTACACCTTAAATCTGCTTCATTGTTGAATTGATTATGCAGTAATAGTCTTGTGGTGTTCTCTGTATGCTGCAGGTCTTTGCTTAGTGTTCACAATGCAAACTGAAGATGTCTCTCCAAGACTGCGGTGAGTGTAAATAGTGTATTTAAACCATGGACAGGGCCGCAAATACAATGTGTTGGGTACAAAAACTACAAACATCCACAATTTTACATTTTCAGTTTCCTACACTAGTAGTTAAAATAAATGCCCTATTGCCCTTTTGGGTAATTTTTGTTTTTACTTTGTCGATGAAGGTCTAATCGTGAAATGCTTTAGATATATTTTATGAGAGTTTTTGTATATGAACTGAGCATTAAGCCTTCGCTACTGAGAAAGTAAATGCCTTTACAGCCAGAAAACGTCTGCACAAGTTTAATGGGAGCTGAGCGAGGAGGAAACGTTTTCACTCAGAGAGAAACATAAAGGCGAGCAGGTTTGTCAGAAAAAGATGTAGACAAAGACCAGAATATGTTTACTCTAGCACAAGCAAAAGTAGTCATAAAAAACTACTGGAGTAAAACAGCATTTATTTACTTATTATTAAAATTATTGGCTACTCAAGTAGTGAATAACTGATTTAATTTGTAAAGAAAAATGTATTCGGACAAAATTCACAAATGATTTGCAAATTAAAATGAAGAATAAAATTACAAGTTTGTCAGACTTAATTATCATTGCTGAATAAAAAAAATTACACTTTTAGAAACTTAAAAAAAAAATTTTTCATCAAACATAAAACTTTTGAGAATAATACTTACATTATACGCATGCTGGAACGATGCAGAACAAACCTGCTGAGGTTCATTTTACCCATCAGACGCAGTGGATAGAAAATAACATCAGAACAATGTCGGCTGTTTGTAAACAAGACGTCTCACTTCGTCATAAACTAAATGTGTTTCTGTGTGTGATGTACTTTTTTTAAAACATGTTTGTTCTTCATATCTCAGTAACTTGAGGGTGTTACAGTAAATTGTTCTCAAGTAAAATTACTTCAAAATAATAGCAAAGTAAGAAAAACCTGTGGCATAATAAAACTACTTATTTTTTCCCATTAAGTTACTGAAGTTGATGTGAGTAAATGGTATCAGCTGTTATAGTTATGAAATGTGCCTGTAAAGTGCACAGTTCTGCTCCTTTAGTTAAAGACAGTTGTTCTTCCTTCTGACTTGTTGATTTTTGCTTGCCGTTGCAGGAACATTTTAACCGTCTGGGGCGTTGTAACAATCGTGGTTGGAGCTTTCATCTTCGGACAGAGCACCACCATTGCTGTGATGGAGATTTTCCACAAGTTCAAAGCTTAACAAAGCAGGTCCGCTACAGCAGAACCTCACCTCTTCTGTCGAACTAGACGCTGAATTTCCATGGCTGGCTTTTACTTGTACATTTAAATATACATTTTGTCTTCTTGAGCAGAACGCATATTAATAGAATATGCTTGTGTGCTGTGCAATTTTCAGTTTAAATGGGTTTTATTTTAAGCAGAACATCTTTATGTAATAAGTCCGTATATATCTGATTATGGTTAAGCATGTTTGCAGCAGAAGTATTATTCAGATTGTAGCTGATCCCCAGTACTTGAATTAAAAAACAGCCGGTCTCCACAGGTGATATTGGCTTTATTTCTCCTTTGATGATTTTGCTGGATCATGTCAGGTCACTTGACTTCAAAACCTCCATCATCATCACCATCATCATCACCATCACCGTGAAAACTAAACAAATAAATATTAAAATACAACACAAATCAACAATACAACAACAAACTGGGGAACGCCATTTCTTAGTCCAACGTTTGACAGTTCATTTGGTTCACTGCAATTCCCCAGTTTTATAGGCCCTGCCCTCTTTCTCTACAGCAGCCCGTGAGGTACGTATTAAACAAAAAAATCCCAAAACATTACAAAATACCATTAAACCAAATAAATCACCAACAATGCAAACCAAAACAGACAAACATACATAAACAATCTGCAACAGTCTTAAATTAGAAATTCATTTAAATTGTTTAATTTAAATAAACTACAAATAATTTAGACATTTCATTTTACAATCCGTTACACAGATGATCTGTGTCATTTTGAGGATTCATGGATTCTTACTGAACCTTGCCAGGGGGCGCTATTGCACCATTTATAAATGACAGAACTGTATTCCCTCCCCCACTCCACATCATGCATGAAACTGTTTATTGTCGATATTTTTTAGGCAATATTTTGTCCCCTTTCTGCTCATCTCTGTGACCATGTGCTTGAGTGAAATGAGACGTATGCTTTAAACCTCATTTCTTTCAGTACTTCTCTGTTCTCTCTTTTCCCCCTCCTACCCTAAATCACTGCATTAAATTTGCTGTGGAATTGAAACGTTTACTTTTTGTCCTTGTCAAGCTTAAATGAGTTTTGGGTCGCAGCTTGCAGCTGTGCACATGTGAAGTGATTTACAGTGAATCTACAAACCGGTTCTGTCAGGCTCTGGACTCAGAGGGGGGCTATTATCAGCAACATATCAGGCTGAAATTCAAGAATCAAGCAGATGACGCATGTCTGCCTGAACTCAGAGAAAATGATGTTTAAATGCAGAGCAGCTTTGATGGATTCTTCTCTTATGTAACGGATGTTTTCATCTTGGGTGGAACTACTTGTAGTGGCAAAACCTGTGACACTCTGCTTGTGTTTAGTCCTCAGGATTATAGCTTGACCTGGCCAAATGTTTAAATCCATTAAATGCAGCTGGGGAAAAAAAAAAAAAAAGCTTGAAAATCACACAGAGCCTCTCATAAATCCTGCAGCTGCTCTCTGGCTTTGTGAAGTAAACGTGGTTCTAACTGGCATGCAGCTTTCAAAAGATTAACACCTCTGCTGCCATTTGCAAACATTTGAGACTTTTCTGTCCAGAAATATAAGGTTTAGCTTAACATTTTCATTTTGCTAAGCATTATTCAGTACCAACAGATGAGAGACTGTCATTATTCCACAGCTTAAGCCAAAAAAGAGAAGAAATTAGTTTTTTTACTGCTGTAAAAAAACTAAAAACTGCTTCAATTGGCTCAACCTGCATTAGGCACATTTGAACCAATCTGGGACTTTTTAATGGTTAGGTATCACTTTTTAGGCACAGATGTAAGTGACTATTTAATTGCAGTGAATTATCCCCAGACTGGGGCACAAACTGTAGAAGGGTGATACACTCAAATTACAATTTCATCCAAAGTACTACAATTAATAACTTAATGTTTTATTAGGCCAAAACTTTAATAAAACTATCATGCAAAAACGATGCAGTTGGTTCCATTGACTTAAGGCACACGTAAGTTTTCAGGTCACATAATTAGCCTATTTAGCTTAGCTTCACTGTACACAATCCTATTTTTAGTGCCGTTATGCTGACTATTCAACTCGTCAATCTGAATTCAGAATTATTGAAGCATTATGGAATACAAACAATCGTCATAATGAGTATATTTAAACTGAAAGCCGTTCAGTTTGAATGTGTCAAAACTATTGCTGCTAAAGGCTGAGCCACTGAAATGTCAGAGCTGTTTAGATGCCCTTGAAGACAATGACATAATTTCACAAAGGTCATCCTGGCGTTCTGCATTGTTGGATAAAACTGAAACCTCTAACAAGCTGGAATCCTAAATTATTCTCTGCATAATCAGATCAGATTTTTTTCAGTTACTGAAAAATTATTTCAAGCCCTCATTAGAGAAAGATTACTGGTTGCACAGACTTTTAAGTAGTCTTGCTGCAGCAGTGATTAGTGATCAGCATTTTGTCGCTGCAGCTTTTTTAACATTAACTTGGTTCTGATAAGAGCCATAGTGGGACACCAGAGTGAAAATGTATGGTATTCAAAAAGCAAATATATCAATTAGTTGAATTAGGAATAGAGAGAATCTCTGCAGCTTCAGATGCTTCTGTATGACTTTGTTTTCTGTGCATCCAGGTGATGTATATAAAGACGTCCTTGCAGCTCATCCAGCTTCCCATCCTCTATTGAACTGGTGACTTTAGATCTTTGACCTCTGAGACGGAATCGATTCAGTTCTCAGGTACAGGAAGCCAAAGTCAGCGATGTGATCTTGTGCTTCACCAGTAATCAGCTCCAGCTGAAAATCTTTGAATTTGCTGGCTGGAGTTTGTTGGACCATTTTTTTACAGCAATACTAGGACAAAAAAAGTCTGTCAGGCTGCAATTTAGCCCGTGTGTTTGGACAATGGCTCAACAGGCTCCGATGGTCAGAGGCTGTTCATGATGAGTGTCATGAAGTCCTATGACAGCTTAAAGTCTGAACTTTGACTGGGAAATGCTAGGAGTGTGAGCCTAAAGATCCTCCAAAACAAGAAATTTGTTCCAGTGACTCATGTTTTCAGATTACACGAAAGTCAAAGTAAATCTGACATGAAAAATATCATAAAAGCAGCTGCTTTGTGTTGTGTTTAGCTCTGAAAGTGATGGTGTTGTGCACAAGTAAGATTTTCTCACGAGTCTGAAGATAAGAAAAGGAAAGGCAGCTTGAAATCTCTTATTTTTTTGCAAATTATATTTGTTAGAGTGGCCAAGACTTTGGTCTACCACTTGTCTGACTTCCTGTAGGAGCTAGCTGCGCTACTGCGACAACAATAAACGGTTCATAAATCACACAATGAGTCAAAGGAGGCAAAGTAATCTGGTTACTGGAGGGAAATTAGGTCCAGGATGCCCTTTCCCAAAATGAATATGTGTGGCTGACTTCTTATTTGCAGGACACATTTCATTTTTAAAGTCACACATGACCTTTATAACTCTGTTCTCTTCCATCCACAGTGATTTAAACAGTATGCTACTGCAACTCAGATGAACACTATATACTCTGAGTTAGATTGTGAGCTGATATTTTATGGTGTTTAAAAAAAAAATGACTTGGTTTCTGTTTCTGGGTTCCTCCAGGAAAATGTTTTCTTTTTGCTTTTGCTCTGAGATGAAAGAGACACAGTGAGTTTTCCATCTGAATGCTGCTTAAATGATTTGGAAATTAATTTAGAGCAAGCCTGAATATCAGCTCTCATGTACAATATCAACCATTTAGTCTGTATTTTGATTCGTATCTTTAAGAAATATTTGAATGTGAATGATTCAGTTGTTTAGACTTTATTTGACCTAAAAAAATAAATAAATCTGAGTTCATCCGAAGTTCACGAGATCACCATCTGATCACTTAATCCACAGATTTAACAGTTGTCTGTATCTGCTGCAGAGCTCAATAGAAACACTCAGATCAGGGGTTGTGTTTGTCTTAACTCACTTATTCAAATATGGCTGCAGACCAAGTAAATGAACCCCATCCTGTCAGTGTAAGTCTCTATGGTGTCTCAGATGAAGAAAAACAAAACTACTTTTATGAAAAAAACTAAATGTTCACAAACTATATCTGTTATTAAGTTTTTAAAAAAGTTATTTACAGCTTGTTCCTAAATTTGTTGACAGAAATGTTATATGTTCGCAACACGGTGAAGATTCAAAGTGGAAAATATGTTTTACTCTATTAGTCTCGGCGCCAGGAAGCCCTCCCCGTCTGAAGCATTTCAGATCCTCCTGGTCGAATCACAAGCCTGAATGAATCTTGGAGTAATTTTGGTAGACATAAAACTCCCAAAGCTTTAGAAATAACTTCATAATTATTTTTCTGTTTTAAGATGGGGCAGGGTGTGTTGTTTTTGAGATCTTTTCGCCAACTTCATGTTGTCAACCAGGTTCTAGTGAAGTGATGTCCTGATATTCAGTCAATGGTGTGGCATGATCATTTCAACCAAAATATATGATTAATCAAAACGGAGGAGGAAGGGATGAGATTTACACTGGACCATAATGGTTTGGATAACTACTGTACTTTTTCCTTTGATAAATGGAAACATTGAAAACTGCGTTGTTAACTACTGTATACTTAATTTTTAACATAATTGTTTTTCAACACTAGTCTGCGAGGACTCCAGATCTCAGACCAAAAAATATTTTCAATAAGTGCGTTTAAAATCATAATTTTAAATGTTTATTTCATTAAATTTTATTTTTAATGCTGCGTTTAACCCACAAATCAGAACTGCACAATAGATCAAATCCTCACTAAGGTCAATGTGACATCACTGTGTACCATACCTCAATTGCAATGCAGCAAACATGGTAATTTAGACGTAAAATAAAAAAAAATATTGACAGTTTAGATGAATATTTATGGCCTTTTACATCCACAAATAGAGCTTAATCAGAAAGCAGTTATGTTGAAAGAAAAATGTAAATTACTCACAAAGAGTGTCGCAAAATCAGATCACAATACTTTTTTGTATTTTTAGTGAAAATATAAAAAATATGCAGAGCAGAAAACCTGCCATTATGATATCAACGCAGATAATCTGCAATGCAGATTTAATATGTATCTGCATGATGGAGCTGCATGAATGAATGGAATAATATATTTTTTTGGATCAGTAGTGAAAATATGAGTCATTTCTTAGTTAAGGGTGATTAATAATCAATGTTTTGAATATTCTGAGGCAAAAGAATAATTTACTACAGTCCTGTATCACAAACAAAAAACATTTATTTCAGTGCACATTTTTATTTTTTGTTAAGAAAATAAGTTATAGACTCTTACAAAATAAAATAAACTAAACTCAGAGCTATAAGAACAAAGTCTTTCATGATAAATAAAACAGATTAATAATGCACTTTGTCTTCCCCTAAGCATGAAAAACTGAAACAGAAATTTAGTGTCAACATCCGTAACAGCTAAAAAGATCTTTAGCATCGTGGAAAGAAAATAAATCAGAACAAAAACAAAGGCACTTCGGGGGAAACTTAGCCTCTTTGTTTGGTGCAGAGGATTTTATAACTGATTATTATTCAGCTCCCTTTAATCACAGATCAGTTCTGCTGATCATCTTCTGAAAATAATCTGCATTCTCAAACCTTGCAGGTTTTTGTTCTCGCCTGCAGCTTCACATATAACAAGGAGTACAAGAAATTTGCAAGGTTAATTGAATTTGGACGCTCAAACCTCAGGAGCACCGACCTGATCAGATAACTTCAAATCAATCACAGATGATCAATCATCATGTTTGATCAAATAGTTTCAGGTCTTATGAATATTAATCAAATAAAGATGAACCTTTGTACTGAACAGTTCCACAAATTAGCTCAATGGAAGCAACATAACATCAGCTGTATATTTCCTGCTTTGGAAATTTTTTTTTTATCAGAGATTAAAAATGTGTTGACTGTTTATTCAAAGCTTCAACTTTCATCCAAACAAGCTTCAACTTTCATCCAAACAAGATTGACAGTTTAAAAATTTGGTTGCTGCAAGAAAATACTGAATTCAGTTTCAGCACTATGTGAGGCTAGTTGAGTGTTAAAGTAAAAATAAAAATCACGATTATTCAGGTCAATATTGACATCATGATTGTTTGGCAGTAAATCTCAAACTTTGGTGAAAGAATTAATTTTTAGCACTTTAAAACTGAGCTTATGAAACAAAAACTGCTTTTCTAAAAATCTGATTTTGTTGATTCTATCCTTTTTTAAATGTTTGAATGAAATTTTAAACTAAGATACAAGTCAGATTAATGGCGTGGGCCTAGATAAGTTACAGCAGCAACATTGCTGTCCTGGAAGAGTCAAACACTTCCCAATCTCGTCTCAAGAAAGTTGAGTGGAAGGAAAAAGTGTGCTTGTAAAAGGCATAACTTCATCCTTGACAAGAAAGTCAAGAAAAAAAAACATTCTAGAAATTATGTGAGATTTATAAATCATCAGTATTTTTAGGGCTTAATCTCAACTAGTGCACCAGTTACATTGAACCAGTGCAGAGCCAGAGATTATAACTTAAGAGTAAAACAACTGAATTATTACTCAGTGGTCCAAAGTCCTCTTTTAGAATAAATATGCATTCAAATTATAAATCAAGGATTAGAAATTGTAGAATTTGCTCATGGTTCAGTGTAAAGTTTGCAAAGCCAGTAATATGGGACCCATGTCCTCTGCTGGTGTTGGTCCTTTAATAAATGTGGAAACACTGTTCTCAACAGCCACCCTGTCTGTCCAAAACCCAAATAAAATTAATATAAAACGTGGGGTTTTTCAGGAGGAAACAATGCAGACAAGCTGAAGGCGCCATTTAAACTCTGCTTATTCAGCAGAGCCTTGTCTAAACGTCTCCATGCCACGCCACACTGATGCAGTAACTCAAGCAAACGCAGCGCAAAGCAAAAATTAAGAAGGCCATCATGGACTAAAAATAATTGTTCTTAATTGATCTTATGTAATAATCAAATTTTCTGAGAAACTGAATATTGTATTTATTTCTAGTTCATAGCCATCAAAATGAAAAAAAAAAAATGCTGAAAATTAATTTCCTTCACTGCAAAAACAGAAAGTCTTACCAAGTAGTTTTAGTCTGGTTTCTAGTGAAAATACCTGGAATATAAGAATAAGAAATAAATAAGACAAAACTAACAACAAGTAACTTTTAAGTCAATAATTTCGTGATATTTATGAAAAAGTAATAGTTCCACTAGCAGATTATTTCACTTACAGTATGGGAAAATATGAAATAATCTGCCAGTGGAACTAGAGTTTTTCTTCAATATTAACAAATTATTGACTTAAAAATTGCTTAAGTAAATTTTGTCTGATTTCAATTGTACTGAAACATTTGTACGAGAAACTAAACCAAAATTACTTGGTATGATTTTGTGTATTTGCAGTGTTTTGTACATAATTTTGATTTAGAAAATTAAAGAAGTACAATTTACTTTTACTTAGTGGACTGCTCCTTTAGTTTTGTTTTTCTGTTTGTTGGTGTTAGAAAAATAAATGTCGTATTGTTCTGGAGTGATAATCCACTGCAGCATTAGATTTAGTAAGCTGCCTCCTGCAGCAGGAGATGCAGCTTCTGCTGAGTGATTTCAGAGTTCATGGTCCAGAGGAACTCTGTTAGTCCTCCTTTCAGCAGCTCCTCCATGGGAACAAACTGCAGCACCTGTCTGTCACCCGAGTGTGTTTGGTTCCCCCCCATGTCTCCTTCTCCTCCAATCAGCTGCTGGATGCTGCTCTGCACGTCACTGAGAACCGGGAGCATCGGAGCGGCCGCTTCGGGGCAGAAGCCGACGCACATCAGCAAGGCCCCGACGCCGCCGGACGGGGGTGGACACCTGAAGGAGATGGAGCGGAAACAGGCGTGGAGGCAGAACACAGCGGCAGCGGTGACTCGAGTCAGGGCCGAGAACACCCGCAGCAGCAGGGCGTCCCCGGCGCTCAGGGTCTGCAGGGCAAGCAGGACACATCCCAGCAGCTGCTGCTGGTACAGAGGTTCGCCGTCGTGCAGCAGGATGCAGCCTCTCTGAGGAAACGAAGGCTCTTCACTCAACGTCAGCACTAAATCGTCTACTTGGCTCTCAGCAGCAGCAGCCCACGTTGCATGGCTGTCGAACACCAGACACCGCCTCTTCTCTTTGCTCCCCTCAAGACCTGCAGCGTCAGACAAAATGGAGGCAGTGCAAGCCACATGGCAGGAGCGGCAGGGGGTCACTAGAGTCCAGTCCACTGCTGCTTCCTGTAGGGCTTCATTCAGGTGGGTCAACAGCGCTGAGTCACAGAATGGAGAGTTTCTGACTGCAGGCAGTGCAGCTCCAGTTACAACGTACCATGAATCTACAAAGCAGCTGGAGCGTGGTCCTTCTAACACGCAGCCCAGCCCTCTGTCCTCAGTGCAGTGACTCTGTATCAGCGCAGCCTGGCAGCTCCGCCCAATTCGCTCCCTCCAGCTCAGGTTCTGCAGCTCCCTGCGCTCGTTGAAGGAGCCTGTTTGCTTCTTCTGGCCCAGAGGTCGGCCTGCCGACACGCTGCAGCAGGCGGGACTCACCGTGTTCCTGGAAATCCACCGGCTTCTGGGAAGAAAGCTCACCTGCACACAGAAATACTACAATTAAACATCGCATACAGAAGTAAAACCAGCTGACCAAATGTGCTAAGCTCAGCTAGGGTTGCTAGCAGAAAGGTTGGACTTGGCTAAGGTTGAAAGGTGACAGAAAAGTGCCAATGGAAAGCAACTTAAAAAGAGGAAGGGTTTTGAAACGGCTCGATTTCTAGACGGTAATAAATAAATGAATGAATTGATAAATAAAAACACCCACACATTTTTTTGGCCATACGTTTAAGCGGTTTTAGAAGCAGTAGAGAGCCAAATGGAACAACAAAAACATAATAAGTCCAATTTAATAAACATGCGTCTTACCTGGAAGCGCTGCAGGTATTCATGCACAACACAGTCTCTGATGTGGTCAAGCCGCTGCCTCCGCTCTGTGCTCATCCCTTCAAACAGCCGCAGGTTTTCACCGATGGTCTCCACCTGCAGGGTGTGGAAGTAGGAGCAGAACTCCTCATGCTGCTTCAGAAACGTCTCTGGGATAACCGAGCTGGGGAACAGCGCTTCTCGGTCAGCTAGACTTGGGCCATAATTTCGGATCAGTTTGGAGAGCAGAGGCCTCACCTCCTCCTTGCTCTCGTAGTTCAAACACACGACGTAAACCTCGGAGTTCCCCGCTTTGCTGGTGGCGGGTTTGAAGACGCTGACGGAGCGGAAGCAGCAGTTCAGCAGGAAGAGCAAGCACACAGAGGAGTGTTCATACAGCGTGAACATCTTCAGGACGAAGGAGCCACCGGGGCTCAGGAGGAGCAGCGCCGCAGCGGCCTCGCAGTAATGCAGCGACGCCACCAGCGCCTCCTGCTCGTCCGGATTCTCCTGACAGTCAAAGCTTCCGTCGGCCGTCACCACGTCGACCCGCCGCATGTTGGACACAAACACTTGCAGATCCAGCAGGTGCTTCTGGAGCATGATGTTCCCCGTGTTGTCGGAGCCAAAGAACCACCACGGCAGCGTGTTGGCGATCAGCCGGTCGTCTGCGATGGTCGTGCTCCCTCCGTTGGCCTCGTGGTACGGGTTGAGGGTGTTGGCGACCCAGGCCCAGTCGCAGTAGCGGGTGGACTCGTTCGTTTTCATGTAGTGATTGAGAGCGGTGATGAAGGCTCCTGGAGCTTCACAGAGATGGACGGAGTTCAGCTCCCCGGTTTGAAGCGCCTCCTCTGGCAGAAGGTCAAAGGTCCCCAGGATCTCGTAGAACTTGCACCAGGCCTGAGTGCAGATCTCCGCGTTGGCAGCCGAGCGAACAGCAGCGATCACCTTCCCAGCTCGGTTGGTGGAGTTGGTGTGTTGGTGCCACACCTGTATGTTCTTGTCACTGAGCTGGTTCTTCACGGCATTCAGAGACGCCTTGAGCTCCTGCAGGTGTCGGTGGTCCTCTGCTGGGTGTTTGAGAGCAACATTGGGGTCGGGGATGCGCCATTCCTCACCCAGCGGCTTCATAAAGGTTTTTACTTTGTTAAAGAGATCCTGGATCTCTGCCTGCGTTTCAGGATCGGACGGCACCAAGCTGCAGAAGACCTGCTGCTGTCGGACCTTTCTTCTTGTGCCATTGCTTGAGCTCATCCTCCCCACCTGTAGAGCAAATACGGTATGGGAATTATTAGGATTAAAATCCACATCTTCAATTTCAAATACGTATACGCAACTCTGGAAAAAATTAAGAGACCACTTCAAAGTGATCAATTTATCTGATTTTACATTTTATAGCTATGTGTTTGAGTAAAATGAACTTTGTTCTTTTATTCTATGAACTACTGACAACAGGTCTCTGAAAATCCAAGCAAATAAGTTGTATTTATAAGCAGAAAATCAGAAATGGTAAAAATAAAAAAGCTGCAGTGCTTTCAGACCTCAAATAATGCAAAGAAAAAAGTCAATATTAATTGAGAAACAACAATGCTAATGTTTGACTCAGTATCAAGAGTTCAGAAATCAATATTTGGTGGAAAAACCAGGAGGCTTTCAATGGGGCTTAGTGCAGTGGGGTGTTAAATTTTGGCAAAGCTGTATATTTTATAAACCAAAGGTTTTAATTTTGAGTTTGTTGGTCTATCGTTTGTGGGATTTTAGGCCTTAACCTTAAGTTTATTTTTCAACTAAACATTAGACTAAATATTCCCAGTTGAAAGGTGCAATATTATGCATATTATTTGGCACAATCAAGTTAACTTCATTTGTTATAAAAATGCTGTGGATATCAAATATGGCTTAAAAAATTACTTCATTATTGAACAACTTGAAACTGGGCCTCTGTTTTTTTTTTTTTTTTTTATAAACTCCTGTTCTTTTTAAAACTCCACCAGAGTCAGGTGTTTGCTAATTGCTGCTGGCTAGTTTGGAGGAGCAGAGTGGGAGAGGGCTGCTCTGTGAGGCAGAAACGTGGAAACTGCAGCTGCAGGGGGAGAATCGCCTTCGGTCCGAGTCAAGACGTTTTTGCAGAGCTGAATGGTTGAGGAATCCTCTGGTCTCCATGGCAAACATACATGAAAGAATCAAGGAAACTCTCCAGGTATGATTTTATGTGAAGGGATAACATTATAACATGATGTAAAGATAAAAATAAAGTAGATTTTACATAATGCTGTCCTTTTAAGATTACTTATTTGCTAAAAATTACAGACGGTTCTTTTTTTAGTTTCCTCATTTTTGACATTTGCAAAACACAAAGTGCTTTTCTCTGAACAGCAAAAACAATTACCTGCCAAATCCAGCTTCTTTATCAAAATCCTCAATTCCTCTCTGAAAATTAAATATTTGTCGATAAACACGACAGTGGCTCATTGTGTTTGAAAAGGACAGTCCAATTTACTCGTCATGTTGTCAGAAGGATTATTGTACAGAACCAATAACATGGAAGCACAAAGGCGTTTGAGCTGCGAGGATAATGAAAACACACCGCGTGACGTCCACGCGTGTCACAGACAAACTTTTCAAAACCGTAAAAGATTTGTATTTCCCTAAAACTTTATTCCCCCCAGGGAAAGGTCTGTACCTGTCTCCGGTGTGTCAATTTCAGTTTAAACAACCTGAAATCAGCGAACAGACACTCACCCAGATGATGCGCAGTAAGGAAACGGAACACACCACCCACGTGACTTAAAACACAGAGCGCGCATGCGTGAAAACAAGCCGTCGTAGTTTTCTTAAAGGAGAAGCTCCGAGCAGGCCTGCCGAGAATTGCATCGCTCTAAACTCGCGTATTGATGAGAAATCCGACCGAAGAGGAAACTTTTAAAGACATTCATGATCACGTTTATTAATCACGTAAGCCCTAAAATTGTGGGGGTTTTTCTCAAATTAATTGAAATAAATACGTTTTTTTTTTCCACGTTTATTGAGCCATATATGTGGAACGTTCTTCAATGTCTGATGAACATGTTCTCCGCAGCTGGTTTGAAATTCCCAGATTTTTTTTAACACCATAATAGCTTAAAGCTTTACAAAACCGAGGTCCATTATGTAGAACATTTTATATCACGCTTAACTGTCTAGTGTATTAATGTAGGGGAGATGCATTGTAATTTCTGAGCCTGCTAAAAATGCCAAAAAATCCCCCCGCCCCGAAGCTAAAAAAAAACAACAACAACAACAAAAAAAAAACAGTTACGACTGAAATAGCTTTTTCAACATAATCACATTTGTTCCCTTAATTGCTGGTGTGAGTTTCATATCAATAGGACAACATTTGAGGAAAATGGAGCGGCAAGCATATTTTGGCAGGCTCATAAAAGGCTTTGCCATAAAAGGCATCCCCCTTCTAACATGTAGAAATAACAAATTAAGAGTGGAATAACATTTTCTACATAAGCAGAATAGTTCTATGAGCTACTGCTATGAGTTTCATGTTATTAGCATAATAACATCAGACGAAAATAGAGAGGACATGCAAATTTTGGCAGGCTGAAAATGCATATTGCTAAAAATTGCACCCCCTGTTAACTTGGAGAAATAAAAAGTTAAGAGTGAAAAAACATTTTCTACATGACCAGAGTAGTTTTATGAACTACTGGTATTAGTTTAATATTATTTTGAAAATATTTGATAAAAACAAGCTCAATAATTTCCATTTGTCTCTCTTCTACCAGAAAGTGGATGAGAAAAGTTTTCAATCTGGCACTTTGGTCTCAACTAGAACTTTTTTTGAAGGACAATTTAGTTTACAGAGGCTTCAGAATTAATTTTAATTATGCTTTGGTACCAGTATTTCATAGAAGTGCTCTGGTTATGTAAAGAAAGTTATATCACTCTTAACTTTTTATTTCTGCAAGTTAGCAGGGGGATGCATTTTTTGGCAATATGGATTTTCAGGCTGCCAAATTTGCATCCCCTCTATTTTCATCAAATATTATCCAATTGAGGTGAAACTCATACCAGCAGTTCGTAGAACTACTTTGGTTATGTAGAAAAAAAAGTGTAATTCCTCCTCACTATATTTCTCCAAATTAGCAGGGGGATGCAAATTGTGGCAGCCTGAAAATACATACTGCCAAAATATGCATCCCCTGCTAACTTGGAGAAATAAAAAGTTAAGAGTGATATAACTTTTTCTACATAACCAGAGCACTTCTATGAAATACTGCTATGAGTTTTATATCAATTCTACAATATTTGATGAAAATAGAGGGGATGCAAATTTTGGCAGGAACCAAAGCCATATTGCCAAAAAATGCATCCCCTTCTAACTTGGAGAAATAAAGAGTTAGGAGGGATTTCACCTTTTATACGCAATGACACTTGTTCTCTGAGTTACTGCTATAATTTTCATATGAATAGGACAATAGACAGGGGATGCAAATATTAGCAGGCTCAGAAATTAAAATGCATCTCCCCTACATTAATACACTAGACAGTAAAGCGTGATATAAAATGTTCTACATAATGGGTTTTGTAAAGCTTTAAGCTATTATGGTGTTAAAAGACAAATAAACCTATGAAGGTTTATTCTGTTGGGCTTACTATGTTCTGCTCAATGTGTAAATTATGTAATCTCAACTTTTTTTTTCTCAGACATGTGCGCTTTATTGGGTTCCCAATGAAGCGCACATGTCTGAGAAAAAAAAACCATGCACAAATTACCAAAGTTTTTTGTACTGTTGTAAGCAATAAACAAACTCCCCTTCAGTTCGACCTTACGAGTGGAGACACATTGTTGATGTAATCATTATAAAATATCTTCCAATTAAGTATTGACAAAGATCAATGTGATTTTTACATGTGGTGTAGCATTGTTGTTAGTAGCTGCTGGAAATAACTAAAATACTTACTTTTAATGTAACTTACTTTCCAAATCAAGTAATCAGTAATCTAAGTTACTTTTTCAAAGTGACTGTGCCATCTCTGGTCCCAACAGAGAGGCCGGTTGTTATGACTCAGCTCAGCAGGGGGAAGGAGAACATTAAAGACTCTGAGACATTAAAGGTTTATCAGTGTAGAGTTTATTGTTTGAGTTAGTAAAATACAAAGGTAAAAAAACTACAATCAGAAATGAATATCTTATAAACAAAAAACAATATTCACAAAACAACCAGAGATGTAAACCAAAAGCCATAACCAAACAGGACCAGAAACCCAAGTGTACGGTATACGATTCCGACTCAAGAGGATGGTCCCGATTCGGAGTTCGATACCAACTCATCGGGACCCAATGGCAGGTCCCGACTCAGAATCCGGTCCCGAGTCCGGTCCCGACTCCGAGTCCGGTCCCGACTCCGAGTCCGGTCCCGACTCCGAGTCCGGTCCCGACTCCGAGTCCGGTCCCGACTCGAAGTCCAGTTCACACTCCGAGGCCGATCCAAACTCGAAGTCCGTTCCAACTCCGAGGCCGATCCCGACTCAGATGAACTCGGAGGCCGTCCCGGGTCGGAGACAGCTCCCAACTCAGAATACGATTCCGATTCGGAAGCCGTCTCCGACCCGGTGGGACTCAGAGGCCGGTCCCCACTCGGGTACAGGTACCAACTCTGAATACGGTCCCGACTCAGAGCACGGTCCCGTCTCAGACGTTGGTCCCGACTCAGAGGCCAATCCCAACTCGGTCCTGGGAGAGAGTCCAGGCCCGAGTCAGAGTCCAGTCCCGAGTCGGGGTCCTGTCCCGAGTCAGGAGCCGGTCCCGAGTCAGGGGCCGGTCCCGACTCAGAGTCCGGTCCCAAGTTAGGAGCCACTACCGACTCAGAAACCGCTCCCAACTCAGAGTCCAGTCCCGACTCAGAAGCCGGTCCCAAGTCAGGGGCCGGTCCCGACTCAGAGTCCGGTCCCAAGTCAGGAGCCGCTCCCGACTCAGAGTCCGGTCCCGACTCAGGAGCCGGTCCCAAGTCAGGGGCCGGTCCCGACTCAGAGTCCGGTCCCAAGTCAGGAGCCGCTCCCGACTCAGAGTCCGGTCCCGAGTCAGGAGCCGCTCCCGACTCAAGTCCAGTTCCGAGTCAGGAGCCGGTCCCGACTTAGGGTCCAGTTTCCGTGTCAGGAGCCGGTGCCGTGTCAGGAGCCGGTCCCGACTCGAGTCCAGTTCCGAGTCAGGAGCCGGTGCCGTGTCAGGAGCCGCTCCCGACTCAGAGTCCGGTCCCGACTCAGGAGCCGGTCCCAAGTCAGGGGCCGGTCCCGACTCAGAGTCCGGTCCAAGTCAGGAGCCGCTCCCGACTCAGAGTCCGGTCCCGAGTCAGGAGCCGCTCCCGACTCAGAGTCCAGTTCCGAGTCAGGAGCCGGTCCCGACTCAGGGTCCAGTTCCGTGTCAGGAGCCGGTGCCGTGTCAGGAGCCGGTCCCGACTCAGAGTCCGGTCCCAAGTCAGGAGCCGGTGCCGTGTCAGGAGCCGGATCCGACTCAGAGGCCAGTTGAGGCTCAAAAGGTCCACTCTTGTATGGTCCGTCAGTTTGAATATCATCCGTATGAAATCCGCAACAAAATATATTTAGGAAATCTCTTCCACGCCTTTCCAACTCGGTTTCTTCTCAGATGGATTTTTCTTGGCCTCGACAAAGTTCTCCTGAAGCACTGTGAGATTTTGTACGTAACTAGTGGGTTGTCCTTGATAACAACTTGAACAAGAATTTTCTCAATCCACTATTGTTTCCACACAAAAGTTGGTATATGTCTTCACAAAGTTTTTTGGTCCATGTCTTCGAAGAACAAAAAATCAATATCTTTAATTTCTTCCCATATTGTCAGACTCAGCTTTGTATAAATCGTATCAATATGTTTAGTGAGTGCGTGCCATGTGTGGATGTCTTCCTGGATTTATCTATTAATTTACTAAGAATCTTGTCAACCATTTTTCTTCTGTCTTCTTCAGTCCCATGTTTCAAGTCTTTGTCTTTGTGTCCTTCAAAAATTCTTCATCCTTTTCTTCATTCAGGCAATTTTCTTCCGCATATAGCTCCTCACTTGGAAAAAATGTCCGTCTAATCTTCTTTCTAGTTGATGTAAAACATCTTCTTTCTCAGAAAGGGATTCTCCAGGTGATGCTTGAATTGTTCCGCCATAAACAATTGTCCATCTCTGTCTTCAAGGAGTCCCTATCAAAATTAATCCAGTACATGAGATAAATTCGTCCTGTGTGAGACTTGTATAATCTTTTCAGCCAGCTCTTCAAAGTTCTCCGATAGTGCCGTCACGTTTAGGACTCCTGTTGTAGCTGAAAGCTCAAGTAAAACTCTCTGGTGTTGCCGCTGAAAAACGTCTTTGACCAGGTGCTCCGTTTTGAGAATCCGCGACTCTTCTGATGACGTTCCACAACAGTTCACTAAGAAAATGTCTTTTTGTGTAATCTGGCGTAATATTGCCGGGATGCACTCGATTTGAAAAAGTCTTTCTCATCTTTTTGAAAAGGGAAATGTTCTGTTTTGCAGGATCTTGGCTCTGGAGTTCTGTAACACTCATGCTGGTTTTGCTGATCTGAATTCAAATGAATCTTTTGTTAACCGCCCACAGAGTTTAGCTGATCAGTGATGTCATGGACTCTATGACATCACAAAGTCATCCTTAGAAGGGCCTCATGACACAGACATCCTTTGAAGTCATGCTGATGACATCATTGTCAGCAGCATGGCAACTGTTGCTAAGGGTGCTAATAGCACACATTGAGCATGTGCTATAAAAAGAGTCTGTGGGGATTAAATGCACCATCAAATCAAATCAAAATTCATATTGCCAAAAATGCATCCCCCGAAGCTAAAAACAAAACAAACAGTTATGAGTGAAATAGCTTTTTCTACATAATCACATTTGTTCCCTTAATTGCTGGTGTGAGTTTCATATCAATAGGACAACATTTGAGGAAATAGAGCGGACAAGCATATTTTGGCAGGCTGATAATAGGCTTCGCCATAAAACGCATCCCTCTGCTAACATGTAGAAATAAAAAATTAAGGATGGAATAACTTTTTCTACATAAGCAGAATAGCTCTATGAGCTACTGCTATGAGTTTCATGTTATTAGCATAATAACAGTAGAGGAAAATAGAGAGGACATGCAAATTTTGGCTGGCGGAAAATGCATATTGCTAAAAATTGCACCCTCTGCTAACTTGGAGAAATAAAAAGTTAAGAGTGAAATAACATTTTCTACATGACCAGAGTAGTTTTATGAACTACTGGTATTAGTTTAATATTATTTTGAAAATATCTGATGAAAACAAGCTCAATAATTTCCATTTGTCTCTCTTTCTACCAGAAAGTGGATGAGAAAAGTTTTCAATCTGGCACTTTGGTCTCAACTAGAACTTTTTTTGAAGGACAATTTAGTTTACAGAGGCTTCAGAATTAATTTTAATTATGCTTTGGTACCAGTATTTCAAAGAAGTGCTCTGGTTATGTAGAAAAAGTTATATCACTCTCAACTTTTTATTTCTCCAAGTTAGCAGGGGATGCATTTTTTTGGCAATATGGATTTTCAGGCTGCCAAATTTGCATCCCCTCTATTTTCATCAAATATTATCCAATTGAGGTGAAACTCATACCAGCAGTTCGTAGAACTACTTTGGTTATGAAGAAAAAAAAATGTAATTCCTCCTCACTATATTTCTCCAAGTTAGCAGGGGGATGCAAATTTTGGCAGCCTGAAAATCCATACTGCCAAAATATGCATCCCCCTGCTAACTTGGAGAAATAAAGAGTTAAGAGTGATATAACTTTTTCTACATAACCAGAGCACTTCTATGAAATACTGCTATGAGTTTTATATCAATTCTATAATATTTGATGAAAACAGAGGGGATGCAAATTTGGCAGGAACCAAATCCAAATCTATGGATTTGGTTCCTGCCAAAATTTGCATCCCCTTCTAACTTGGAGAAATAAAGAGTTAGGAGGGATTTCACCTTTTATACGCAATGACACTTGTTCTCTGAGTTACCGCTATAATTTTCATATGAATAGGACAATAGACAGGGGATGCAAATATTAGCAGGCTCAGAAATTAAAATGCATCTCCCCTACATTAATACATTAGACAGTTAAGCGTGATATAAAATGTTCTACATAATGGGTTTTGTAAAGCTTTAAGCTATTATGGTGTTAAAAGACAAATAAACCTATGAAGGTTTATTCTGTTGGGCTTACTATGTTCTGCTTAATGTGTAAATTATGTAATCTCAACTTTTGTTTTCTCTGACATGTGCGATTTAATGGGCGCCCAATAAAGCGCACGTCTGAGAAAAAAAAAAAAAACATGCACAAATTACCAACGTTTTTTGCACTGTTGTAAGCAATAAACAATCTCCCCTTCAGTTCGAACTTACGAGTGGAGACACATTGTTGATGTAATCATTATAAAATATCTTCCAATTAAGTATTGACAAAGATCAATGTGATTTTTACATGTGGTGTAGCATTGTTAGTAGCTGCTGGAAATAACTAAAATACTTACTTTTAATGTAACTTACTTTCCAAATCAAGTAATCAGTAATCTAAGTTACTTTTTCACAGTGACTGTGCCATCTCTGGTCCCAACAGAGAGGCCGGTTGTTATGACTCAGCTCAGCAGGGGGGAAGGAGAAGTTACATTAAAGACTCTGAGACATTAAAGGTTTATCAGTGTAGAGTTTATTGTTTGAGTTAGTAAAATACAAAGGTAAAAAAAACTACAATCAGAAATGAATATCTTATAAACAAAAAACAATATTCAAAACAACCAGAGATGTAAACCAAAAGCCATAACCAAACAGGACCAGAAACCCAAGTATACGGTATACGATTCCGACTCAAGAGGATGGTCCCGATTCGGAGTCCGATACCAACTCATCGGGACCCAATGGCAGGTCCCGACTCAGAATCCGGTCTCGAGTCCGGTCCCGACTCGAGTCCGGTCCCGACTCCGAGTCGGGACCCGACTCGAAGTCCAGTTCACACTCCGAGGCTGATCCAAACTCGAAGTCCGGTTCCAACTCCGAGGCCGATCCCGACTCAGATGAACTCGGAGGCCGTCCCGGGTCGGAGACAGCTCCCAACTCAGAATACGATTCCGATTCGGAAGCCGTCTCCGACCCGGTGGGACTCAGAGGCCGTTCCCCACTCGGGTACAGGTACCAACTCTGAATACGGTCCCGACTCAGAGCACGGTCCCGTCTCAGACGTTGGTCCCGACTCAGAGGCCAATCCCAACTCGGTCCTGGGAGAGAGTCCAGGCCCGAGTCAGAGTCCAGTCCCGAGTCGGGGTCCTGTCCCGAGTCAGGAGCCGGTCCCGAGTCAGGGGCCGGTCCCGAGTCAGGGGCCGGTCCCGACTCAGAGTCCGGTCCCAAGTCAGGAGCCACTCCCGACTCAGAAACCGCTCCCAACTCAGAGTCCAGTCCCGACTCAGAAGCCGGTCCCAAGTCAGGGGCCGGTCCCGACTCAGAGTCCGGTCCCAAGTCAGGAGCCGCTCCCGACTCAGAAACCGGTCCCGAGTCAGGGGCTGGTCCCAAGTCAGGAGCCGCTCCCAACTCGGAGTCCGGTTCCGAGTCAGGAGCCGGTCCCGACTCAGAGTCCGGTCCCGAGTGAGGAGCCGGTCCCGACTCAGGGTCCAGTTCCGTGTCAGGAGCCGGTGCCGTGTCAGGAGCCGGTCCCGACTCAGAGTCCAGTTCCGAGTCAGGAGCCGGTGCCGTATCAGGAGCTGGATCCGACTCAGAGGCCAGTTGAGGCTCAAAAGGTCCACTCTTGTATGGTCCGTCAGTTTGAATATCATCCGTATGAAATCCGCAACAAATATATTTAGAAATCTCTTCCACGCCTTTCCAACTCGGTTTCTTCTCAGATGGATTTTTCTTGGCCTCGACAAAGTTCTCCTGAAGCACTGTGAGATTTTGTACGTAACTAGTGGGTTGTCCCTTGATAACAACTTGAACAAGAATTTTCTCAATCCACTATTGTTTCCACACAAAAGTTGGTATATGTCTTCACAAAGTTTTTGGTCCATGTCTTCGAAGAACAAAAAATCAATATCTTTAATTTCTTCCCATATTGTCAGACTCAGCTTTGTATAAATCGTATCAATATTGTTTAGTGAGTGCGTGCCATGTGTGGATGTCTTCCTGGATTTATCTATTAATTTACTAAGAATCTTGTCAACCATTTTTCTTCTGTCTTCTTCAGTCCCATGTTTCAAGTCTTTTGTCTTTGTGTCCTTCAAAAATTCTTCATCCTTTTCTTCATTCAGGCAATTTTCTTCCGCATATAGCTCCTCACTTGGAAAAAATGTCCGTCTAATCTTCTTTCTAGTTGATGTAAACATCTTCTTTCTCAGAAAGGGATTCTCCAGTGATGCTTGAATTGTTCCGCCATAAACAATTGTCCATCTCTGTCTTCAAGGAGTCCTATCAAAATTAATCCAGTACATGAGATAAATTCGTCCTGTGAGACTTGTA